TGGTGAGTGTGTAGGTGGTGAGTGTATAGGTGGTGAGTGTGTAGGTGGTGAGTGTGTAGGTGGTGAGTGTGTAGGTGGTGAGTGTGTAGGTGTTGAGTGAGTGTGTAGGTGGTGAGTGAGTGTGTAGGTGGTGAGTGTGTGGTGAGTGTGTAGGTGGTGAGTAGGTGGTGAGTGTGTGGGTGGTGAGTGTGTAGGTGGTGAGTAGGTGGTGAGTGTGTAGGTTGTGAGTGTGTAGGTGGTGAGTGAGTGTGTAGGTGGTGAGTGTGTAGGTGGTGAGTAGGTGGTGAGTGTGTAGGTTGTGAGTGTGTAGGTGGTGAGTGTGTAGGTGGTGAGTGTGTGGGTGGTGAGTGTGTGGGTGGTGAGTGTGTGGGTGGTGAGTGTGTGGGTGGTGAGTGTGTAGGTGGTATGTGTGTAGGTGGTGAGTGTGTAGGTGGTGAGTGTGTAGGTGGTGAGAGTGTAGGTGGTGAGAGTGTAGGTGGTGAGTGTGTAGGTGGTGAGTGTGTAGGTGGTGAGTGTGTAGGTGGTGAGTGAGTGTGTAGGTGGTGAGTGTGTAGGTGGTGAGTGTGTAGGTGGTGAGTGTGTAGGTGGTGAGTGAGTGTATAGGTGGTGAGTGTGTAGGTGGTGAGTGTGTAGGTGGTGAGTGAGTATGTAGGTGGTGAGTGTGTGGGTGGTGAGTGTGTGGGTGGTGAGTGAGTGTGTAGGTGGTGAGTGAGTGTGTAGGTGGTGAGTGTGTCGGTGGTGAGTGTGTGGGTGGTGAGTGTGTAGGTGGTGTGTGTGTAGGTGGTGAGTGTGTAGGTGGTGAGTGTGTGGGTGGTGAGTGTGTGGGTGGTGAGTGTGTGGGTGGTGAGTGTGTAGGTGGTGAGTGTGTAGGTGCTGAGTGTGTAGGTGGTGAGTGTGTAGGTGGTGAGTGAGTGTGTAGGTGGTGAGTGTGTAGGTGGTGAGTGAGTGTGTAGGTGGTGAGTGTGTAGGTGGTGAGTGAGTGTGTAGGTGGTGAGTGTGTAGGTGGTGAGTGTGTAGGTGGTGAGTGTGTGGGTGGTGAGTGTGTAGGTGGTGAGTGAGTGTGTAGGTGGCGAGTGTGTAGGTGGTGAGTGTGTAGGTGGTGAGTAGGTGGTGAGTGTGTAGGTTGTGAGTGTGTAGGTGGTGAGTGAGTGTGTAGGTGGTGAGTGTGTAGGTGGTGAGTGAGTGTGTAGGTGGTGAGTGTGTAGGTGGTGAGTGTGTGGGTGGTGAGTGTGTGGGTGGTGAGTGTGTGGGTGGTGAGTGTGTAGGTGGTGAGTGTGTGGGTGGTGAGTGTGTGGGTGGTGAGTGTGTGCGTGGTGAGTGTGTAGGTGGTGAGTGTGTAGGTGGTGAGTGTGTAGGTGCTGAGTAGGTGGTGAGTGTGTAGGTTGTGAGTGTGTAGGTGGTGAGTGAGTGTGTAGGTGGTGAGTGTGTAGGTGGTGAGTGAGTGTGTAGGTGGTGAGAGTGTAGGTGGTGAGAGTGTAGGTGGTGAGTGTGTAGGTGGTGAGTTTGTAGGTGGTGAGTGTGTAGGTGGTGAGTGTGTAGGTGGTGAGTGTGTCGGTGGTGAGTGTGTGGGTGGTGAGTGTGTAGGTGGTGTGTGTGTAGGTGGTGAGTGTGTAGGTGGTGAGTGTGTAGGTGGTGAGTGTGTAGGTGCTGAGTGTGTGGGTGGTGAGTGTGTGGGTGGTGAGTGTGTAGGTGGTGAGTGTGTAGGTGGTGAGTGTGTAGGTGCTGAGTGTGTAGGTGGTGAGTGTGTAGGTGGTGAGTGAGTGTGTAGGTGGTGAGTGTGTAGGTGGTGAGTGAGTGTGTAGGTGGTGAGTGTGTAGGTGGTGAGTGTGTAGGTGGTGAGTGTGTGGGTGGTGAGTGTGTAGGTGGTGAGTGAGTGTGTAGGTGGCGAGTGTGTAGGTGGTGAGTGTGTAGGTGGTGAGTGTGTGGGTGGTGAGTGTGTAGGTGGTGAGTGTGTAGGTGCTGAGTGTGTAGGTGGTGAGTGTGTAGGTGGTGAGTGAGTGTGTAGGTGGTGAGTGTGTAGGTGGTGAGTGAGTGTGTAGGTGGTGAGTGTGTAGGTGGTGAGTGAGTGTGTAGGTGGTGAGTGTGTAGGTGGTGAGTGTGTAGGTGGTGAGTGTGTGGGTGGTGAGTGTGTAGGTGGTGAGTGAGTGTGTAGGTGGCGAGTGTGTAGGTGGTGAGTGTGTAGGTGGTGAGTGTGTGGGTGGTGAGTGTGTAGGTGGTGAGTGTGTAGGTGCTGAGTGTGTAGGTGGTGAGTGTGTAGGTGGTGAGTGAGTGTGTAGGTGGTGAGTGTGTAGGTGGTGAGTGAGTGTGTAGGTGGTGAGTGTGTAGGTGGTGAGTGAGTGTGTAGGTGGTGAGTGTGTAGGTGGTGAGTGTGTAGGTGGTGAGTGTGTGGGTGGTGAGTGTGTAGGTGGTGAGTGAGTGTGTAGGTGGCGAGTGTGTAGGTGGTGAGTGTGTAGGTGGTGAGTAGGTGGTGAGTGTGTAGGTTGTGAGTGTGTAGGTGGTGAGTGAGTGTGTAGGTGGTGAGTGTGTAGGTGGTGAGTGAGTGTGTAGGTGGTGAGTGTGTAGGTGGTGAGTGTGTGGGTGGTGAGTGTGTGGGTGGTGAGTGTGTGGGTGGTGAGTGTGTAGGTGGTGAGTGTGTGGGTGGTGAGTGTGTGGGTGGTGAGTGTGTGCGTGGTGAGTGTGTAGGTGGTGAGTGTGTAGGTGGTGAGTGTGTAGGTGCTGAGTAGGTGGTGAGTGTGTAGGTTGTGAGTGTGTAGGTGGTGAGTGAGTGTGTAGGTGGTGAGTGTGTAGGTGGTGAGTGAGTGTGTAGGTGGTGAGAGTGTAGGTGGTGAGAGTGTAGGTGGTGAGTGTGTAGGTGGTGAGTTTGTAGGTGGTGAGTGTGTAGGTGGTGAGTGTGTAGGTGGTGAGTGTGTCGGTGGTGAGTGTGTGGGTGGTGAGTGTGTAGGTGGTGTGTGTGTAGGTGGTGAGTGTGTAGGTGGTGAGTGTGTAGGTGGTGAGTGTGTAGGTGGTGAGTGTGTGGGTGGTGAGTGTGTGGGTGGTGAGTGTGTAGGTGGTGAGTGTGTAGGTGGTGAGTGTGTAGGTGCTGAGTGTGTAGGTGGTGAGTGTGTAGGTGGTGAGTGAGTGTGTAGGTGGTGAGTGTGTAGGTGGTGAGTGAGTGTGTAGGTGGTGAGTGTGTAGGTGGTGAGTGTGTAGGTGGTGAGTGTGTGGGTGGTGAGTGTGTAGGTGGTGAGTGAGTGTGTAGGTGGTGAGTGTGTAGGTGGTGAGTGTGTAGGTGGTGAGTGTGTAGGTGGTGAGTAGGTGGTGAGTGTGTAGGTTGTGAGTGTGTAGGTGGTGAGTGAGTGTGTAGGTGGTGAGTGTGTAGGTGGTGAGTGAGTGTGTAGGTGGTGAGTGTGTAGGTGGTGAGTGTGTGGGTGGTGAGTGTGTGGGTGGTGAGTGTGTGGGTGGTGAGTGTGTAGGTGGTGAGTGAGTGTGTAGGTGGTGAGAGTGTAGGTGGTGAGAGTGTAGGTGGTGAGTGTGTAGGTGGTGAGTGTGTAGGTGGTGAGTGAGTGTGTAGGTGGTGAGTGTGTAGGTGGTGAGTGTGTAGGTGGTGAGTGAGTGTGTAGGTGGTGAGTGTGTAGGTGGTGAGTTTGTAGGTGGTGAGTGTGTAGGTGGTGAGTGTGTAGGTGGTGAGTGTGTAGGTGGTGAGTGAGTGTGTAGGTGGTGAGTGTGTAGGTGGTGTGTAGGTGGTGTGTAGGTGGTGAGTGTGTAGGTGGTGAGTGTGTAGGTGGTGAGTGAGTGTGTAGGTGGTGAGTGTGTAGGTGGTGAGTGTGTAGGTGGTGAGTGAGTGTGTAGGTGGTGAGTGTGTAGGTGGTGAGTGTGTAGGTGGTGAGTGTGTAGGTGGTGAGTGAGTGTGTAGGTGGTAAGTGTGTAGATGGTGAGTGTGTAGGTGGTGAGTGTGTAGGTGGTGAGTGTGTAGGTGGTGAGTGAGTGTGTAGGTGGTGAGTGTGTAGGTGGTGAGTGTGTAGGTGGTTAGTGTGTAGGTGGTGAGTGTGTAGGTGGTTAGTGTGTAGATGGTGAGTGAGTGTGTAAGTGGTGAGTGTGTAGGTGGTGAGTGAGTGTGTAGGTGGTGAGTGTGTAGGTGGTGAGTGAGTGTGTAGGTGGCGAGTGTGTAGGTGGTGAGTGTGTAGGTGGTGAGTGTGTGGGTGGTGAGTAGGTGGTGAGTGTGTAGGTGGTGAGTGTGTAGGTGGTGAGTGAGTGTGTAGGTGGTGAGTGTATAGGTGGTGAGTGAGTGTGTAGGTGGTGAGTGTGTAGGTGGTGAGTGTGTAGGTGGTGAGTGTGTAGGTGGTGAGTGAGTGTGTAGGTGGTGAGTGTGTAGGTGGTGAGTTTGTAGGTGGTGAGTGTGTAGGTGGTTAGTGTGTAGGTGGTGCGTGTGTCGGTGGTGAGTGTATAGGTGGTGAGTGTGTAGGTGGTGAGTAGGTGGTGAGTGTGTAGGTGGTGAGTGTGTAGGTGGTGAGTGAGTGTGTAGGTGGTGAGTGTGTAGGTGGTGAGTGAGTGTGTGGGTGGTGAGTGTGTAGGTGGTGAGTGTGTAGGTGGTGAGTGTGTAGGTGGTGAGTGAGTGTGTAGGTGGTGAGTGTGTAGGTGGTGAGTGAGTGTGTAGGTGGTGAGTGTGTAGGTGGTGAGTGAGTGTGTGGGTGGTGAGTGTGTAGGTGGTGAGTGTGTAGGTGGTGAGTGTGTAGGTGGTGAGTGAGTGTGTAGGTGGTGAGTGTGTAGGTGGTGAGTTTGTAGGTGGTGAGTGTGTAGGTGGTTAGTGTGTAGGTGGTGCGTGTGTCGGTGGTGAGTGTGTAGGTGGTTAGTGTGTAGGTGGTGCGTGTGTCGGTGGTGAGTGTGTAGGTGGTGAGTGTGTAGGTGGTGTGTAGGTGGTGAGTAGGTGGTGAGTGTGTAGGTGGTGCGTGTGTCGGTGGTGAGTGCTGTCTGTGAGCGCCACCTCCCCCCGCCCCCGCCCCCCAGGCCCCCTGCCCGTGTCGCGGTTCACGGCGGTGGCGACGTCCCCGTGAACCCGGCAGTAGTCGCAGCGGCAGCAGTGGCAGCTTACGACTCACTCCCTCCCCTCGCCTCCTCCACCACCACCACCACAACCACCACACAGCACACCACCACCACCACTACCACCACCACACAGCACAGCACAAGCAGCACACCACCAGCAGCACAGCAGCCGACCCCAGCTGGTGCATCGCGATGCACGCCGCGCGATTCCCCGAGTCGCTCTACACGGACGCGTGCGCGCAGCTTGAAGCGCCTCGCTTGGAAGGCGGCTGGGAATTCTTCGTCGAATCATCCGGCATCAAGATCCACCGCTTCTACAGAGAGGTGACCCGTGCCCCTCCACCGCCTCCATCTCCTCCCTGCTGCTGCTGCCGACGACGACTCGCTGGTTCTCTCGCGCCGCACTCGTGGGGCGCGTTGGCACGGGTTCCAGTCGCGTTGGCACGGGTTCCAGTCGCGTTGGCACGGGTTCCAGTCGCGTTGGCACGGGTTCCAGTCGCGTTGGCACGGGTTCCAGTCGCGTAGGGCACGGGTTCCAGTCGCGTTGGCACGGGTTCCAGTCGCGTTGGCACGGGTTCCAGTCGCGTTGGCACGGGTTCCAGTCGCGGTTGGCACGGGTTCCAGTCGCGTTGGCACGGGTTCCAGTCGCGTTGGCACGGGTTCCAGTCGCGGTTGGCACGGGTTCCAGTCGCGTTGGCACGGGTTCCAGTCGCGTTGGCACGGGTTCCAGTCGCGGTTGGCACGGGTTCCAGTCGCGGTTGGCACGGGTTCCAGTCGCGTTGGCACGGGTTCCAGTCGCGTTGGCACGGGTTCCAGTCGCGTTGGCACGGGTTCCAGTCGCGTTGGCACGGGTTCCAGTCGCGTTGGCACGGGTTCCAGTCGCGTTGGCACGGGTTCCAGTCGCGTTGGCACGGGTTCCAGTCGCGTTGGCACGGGTTCCAGTCGCGTAGGGCACGGGTTCCAGTCGCGTTGACACGGGTTCCAGTCGCGTTGGCACGGGTTCCAGTCGCGGTTGGCACGGGTTCCAGTCGCGGTTGGCACGGGTTCCAGTCGCGTTGGCACGGGTTCCAGTCGCGTTGGCACGGGTTCCAGTCGCGTAGGGCACGGGTTCCAGTCGCGTTGGCACGGGTTCCAGTCGCGTTGGCACGGGTTCCAGTCGCGTAGGGCACGGGTTCCAGTCGCGCTCACCGCGTGCGTGAGCTCCGCGTGCCTCGCGCCTGGAGCGAGCGATACTTGCCCGAGCGGCGCCACCTCTCCTCTTGGCCGCGAAGGTCACGAGTTCAAAGTCTCAAACTCATTGCCTGTCACTTCAACACCCCGTAAGCCTTGCGCGACCAATAGGGTCAACAATACAGGGGGTTGGTTTTGGTGGGGGGGGGGGCGTTAGGTCGAGTAAATATCTGTCGGCTGATGAAGCTGGTTGTGATTACTGGCGAAACGTCGTACTCAGATTGTAAATGCTGTGGCTTGGCTCTCCAACACACAATCGGTGTGCTGTACCAGTGGCGAATTGGCCACGTGCTGCTTACGTGACAACCCTTACGAGTTGGCTGTGTCGGGTGGTGGCGGGTTTAACGACACATATTTACACGATCTAACCCAAAAACCTGTATTGTGAATCATAGCTGTCAACCCATCATGGTTTAACGCCGTTTTCTTGCACAGGGCAGTTGAGTTTTCAGTGAAAAAAATGTCTTTGTGTTAATCCCCCCTTGTGATGGGACTCTGTAGAATGAACGTTGAGATTATATCAGGGCACGGTGTGAGACCGATAAAGTCTAAATTGGTCTGTGATAAGGTAGACACTGATAAGGGGTTGACAGGTATGCAATCAACCACCAGAATGTTTAATACCGAAACAGGAAGACTCTCTCTCTCTCTCTCTTCTTCACAATTCAGGTTATCGCCTTATGAAGCTGGTTATTGTAATCGCCAGCGAAACGTCACTGTCCTGAAGGAGTAACTAATTGGGCGGTAAGATATCATCAGTGACGAGGGCCGCCACACATTTGAAACCATTGGGGGGATTGACAGCAGCACGATGATGATGGGCTTGTGAGCCTGATTGGCTCACGTAACATTTATCTCTCCTCTAGTTAAAGACCAAAACAGGAGGAGGATCTCTCCACAAATCTGTGGCTGTGGCCTGATGATGCTGGTTGTTGTTATTACCGGCAAAACGTCACTGTACTCGAATTGTGAATGTTGTTGTGGGTTTACTCTCCAACACACCGGTGTGCTGTTCTAGTTACGAATTGGCACGTTCTGTTTACGTGACACAAATGACTAAATGGCTGTGTCGGGTGGTGGCGGGTTTAACGACACACATTTACTTGATCTAACCCCCAAAAAACCTTTGTTATGGATAATATTGCTCGCGGAAGCTTACTACGTGTTAAACAGAATGTTCAACTCTATCCTTCTTGTTTTGCTACCATTTCCTAATTTGAATGATTACTGTTTCGACTTTGCTTGGAAGTCGGGGTCTTCACTTGCCTGGTTAGTGGCTGTATGTGGGGGGATTTGGGTCCCTTAGATCTGTAATGACTCGACGACGAATTATATGAAGAGCCACTTTTATTTGAAGACTTCCACAATAAGGGACCCTCGGCTTCATGCTTGTCTTCCTGCTTGTATTTTCCTCTGGACGTCCCTACTCCTCGTGCTCTTCCCTCACCCTATTTCCCTTAGCCAATCCCTGTCCTTCCCCTCTAACGGATCCCAACCTTCGCCGCTGGGTTTTAAACTCTGTTTCCCGCCTATTCTCATTCAAAACTCTCTTCAAAAGCCCTGCCTCCTGACCAATCCCTGTGGAGGCCTCTTTCCTCCAATCGGAGACCTTGGTCTATCTTTGAATAGCCGTTGGGCTGCACATTGACTTGGGGTCATTTCTGGTCATTACATATATATAAAATGAATGTACGGTGTTACGGGAAATGCGATGAGCACGAATTACGCTGTATAAGATGAAGTATCAGTGGTGTAACCAGCAGCATGCGGCAGGCGGGGCGTAGGCCAAACCTACGAGTTGGGTTTTGCAAACGGGTACAACTACGGAGCTGTGGTGGCTGCATTTTGCGAACATGAAGACGCCCCTACAGCCTTAAATGTTCGAGACCGTGAGCGTAGTAACGAGGACGCGATGAGGGCAAGAGGAGCCGAGATGTAGAATAGCCTCGGTGCGACCGTGCGAGACAAATCAAATACTGGGCGCCACACCTGACCGATTGCCGCTGTTACCGCCTTCTGGCGAGCCAGAACACACAATTCCTCCTCGACGCCCATGGGAAGGGAGTTTCACAACAGCATCTGTGCGGTGGTGATCCACCAACCCTAGCTGCTGCTTCCACAGCGGCCGGTTACGGGCAGCCACGTGCAGCTGCGGCTGCACGGCGCTGTGGCAAGTCACCAGTCGACCTTTCCAACTGGTCCCCGCCGTAGAGACTCGCCCATGAAGGCGCTGGCCGCGAAACTGGTAATGGTGATGCCGGACGAGGTGCCGCGTCGAGCACACCGCGAGGCAATGGCCGAGCAAGCGTCGTAACCAACCGCAGTTTTGCCCGGCTCCTGGGAGTGAAGGAAGGCGTGGAGATGGGATAGTTGTGGAGAACGAGGGAGGAGGGCGGCGCGCGGTCCCACAGAAGCGGACACTGCTTAGACCAGACGTGGGCAAAGTACACTGCTACACTATACACTACGCTACTATACACTACTACACTACACTATAGACTACACTACACTAGACACTAAGCTATACACTACACTATACACTACTACACTATACACTACTACACTACACTATAGACTACACTACACTATACACTAAGCTATACACTACAATATACACTATTACACTATACACCACGCTACTATACACTACTACACTACACTATAGATTACACTACGCTATACACTACAATATACACTACACTATACACTACTACACTATACACTTCTACACTATACACTACTACACTATACACTACGCTACTATACACTACTACACTACACTATAGACTACACTACACTAGACACTAAGCTATACACTACACTATACACTACTACACTATACACTACACTACTATACACTACTACACTACACTATAGACTACACTACACTATACACTAAGCTATACACTACAATATACACTACACTATACACTACTACACTATACACTACACTACTATACACTACTACACTACACTATAGACTACACTACACTATACACTAACCTATACACTACAATATACACTACACTATACACTACTACACTGTACACTACGCTACTATACACTACTACACCAGACGTGGGCAAAGTGCGGCCCCCTAGCCGTGTACGGCCCGTTGGGCTTTTTAATCTGGCCCGCCTGAACTTGTCCAAATATTATTATTATTAAATTAAATTTTACCTTTCTCCATTAATGCCCCCATTTCCCCATTAGATGGCGCACTTTGACCGGGAGTGTGGTGTCTAGGGCTCGAAAGGGCACATGATCTCGCAATGCATTGTGGGCCGTCAGCACCATTTTCAGGGTTTGTTTACATTGCTGAGTTAGATACGGTGCTCCCTTCACTTTTTCGCTTTGCCCCACCTCGTCACACAACATGTTTTTTGTATTGTTCATGTTCCTGCAATTTGTTAAATTGCCTTGCAAATAAATGCTTTGCTACCTGTTAAAGGCCAAATCCTTTCATGTAATGATTATTAACACGTCATTTATATTAGTTCACACAAACACTCCATCCATCTGTTCCTGGCCCGGCCCCTCTGTCAAATTTTAGAACCCATTGTGGCCCGCGAGTGATAAAATTTGCCCACCCCTGCCTTAGACAATGCCTGCGTCGACGCTGCCATCGCCACACAACGAGCGCCACCGTTGCCCGCCACCCAGCGTACAATGAAAGGGCCCGAGTCACAAACGGCGCTTCGCTCAGCAATTCCAATTGCTCTGACCGGGATCAACAACCGCTGACGCACGTCCGTAGTGGGATGAGGTGGTAAAGCGGGGTGAACAATCCCACGTTCACCCATCGAGCCGAGTGATCGAGCGCGCGCACACACACACACGCACAAAGACAGATCCCCCGTATAGCCTTAACAGAGTGGGAAAGTGGTGTTAGCGAGCACCTATGAAAGCCGGCACGGCATACGAGGGGGTGGGTGGCCAGCACCATGCCCGGCCGCCTTTGTTTCCATAGTGGTAACGTTTACACACCGTACCAGGTACTCATTTGAGGCTGAGTCCACCTAGGGGAGGCCCAGGACCGGTTCCGATATTCATCACCGAAGTTGGCCATGAGCGGGAATCGAACTCGGCTCGCTGGGTTTGGCTTCGGGTCGGAGACCCAACTTCCATCGGTGTTATCGATCGCCGGTGACTCGGGTCACGGTGTGGCTATATCACGCATTGTCAAGGTCATTTTCAATTTTGCTGACTTGTACGGCGAATTGTTCAAACGCACCCAAACGCGCCATCTCCCAGATCCTCTGTACGCGCAGACCCTGCGTTCAACCAGTAAAGCATGTGCATGTTTGTGTCGGTACATGTCCGTCTTGGCGATTAGCGCGGTTGGCCACGAAAGACGTCCAACGTACGTGCACGCAAAGTGCAGCTCCACAGCTGCCCTTGGGTCAACCCCGTGGCCGTGACCTCCTTTAAAGGGGCGCGCCACACAAACGCTCTGTGAGGATGGGGATGGAAGGGTGGGTGCGGCACGACACAGCCAATGGTAGACGAACCCCCTAACCGAGGCGCCGAGCGCTGAGCGGCGGTGCGATCCGCCGGCGTCTGTCGCGGGCACCGCCGCCGCCCCCCCCCCCCCCCCCCCCGCTGTGGACGCGAGCCAAGGCCGCGGTGCCCATCGCTACCTCGAATTTCCGCACCACCGGCATTGCCGGGCAGCGTGAACTTTCGAGTGTGTGGCAACGGAGCCCCGGCTCCGTGTCGGATGACCCGCGGTGGTCTCATTCCCTCCCTGGCGGGGATTATTGTGGCGTCCCCGCCCCGTGCCCAACTTGCGATGGAGCAATTTGAATTCATTATGAAGAAATCTTGGGACATGAATACGGCGCCATGAATACTTAATAAAGTTCAAACGGGGCGGTCGGTGTTGGATGTTTTAGCCTCCCGCGCGCGTTTCCGTGTGGCGCGGCGGTTAGGGGCGCTGCGAACCCGGCGACCCGAGTTCGATTCCCGCTCTCGACGAACAATGGTGGCGAATGTTGACATTTGAACCGGTTTGCGACCTTCGGCCCAGGTCGCCTCAACTTGTTAAACGAGTACCTGGTGCCGCGTGTGAACACCGGCGGTGGGGAGTACAAAGGCGGGCGGGCGTGGTGCTGGCCACCCGACCACCCGGTGTACGGCAGTGGCCTCCGTAGGTGCCGCTGCTCGCGAACAGCACTCGCCCCGGCAGCCTTTCACGGGGGAACTTCTTTGCCTTTGCGTGGCAGCACTCGGGCCTCTACGAGTACAAGGTGTTTGGCGATCTCCCGGACGCCGGGCCACAGCTCTACGCCGACGTCTACATGGACCTGCAGTACCGCAGGACCTGGGACAGTTACGTCAAAGGTGCGTGGGTCCTCGCCTTCACTGTTGATCGTCAGCACGCCTCGAGGTCGGGGGGGGGCCCACAGTGGCTGCGACCGAGGGAAAAGTTGAAACCGATTCCAATGGCAAGTGACGGCGAAAGCCTCAAGGGTGATTCACCGCCTCTCCGTGCTCTCGCGAGAGTTGCTCAGCCGCACATCCCAGACCTGGTTGAATGTGCGGGTGTCCGGGTAAAAATCGTGCTAAAAATAAGTAAATCAATATATTTTTTAAAAAACTATTTCACCAGGAAAGGCCCACTGAGCTATACGCAGGGCCGGATTAAGATTTTGTAGGCCCCTGGGCTACAGGTACTGTGAGGCCCCCAGTAATATTTTCAAAAAGAAAACAAAGTTAAAGAAAAATAAATTAATTTTTACAAGGCTAACAACAAATACAATTCAGCATTCACAAATGAAATACATTTCCACTTAATCTCTGGAGGCCCTCTAGTAGGCGGAGGCCCCTGGGCTGCAGCTCCCTAAAGCCCCCCGTGCCTTAATCCGGCCCTGGCTATACCAGAGAAAAATCCACTTGACCAACACGGGGAGAAAGAGACAATGACGTAGGCTCCAAATGTACAGCAGGCATTGTCAGGGTCCGGGATTGAACCCACGACCTCCTGTATACCAGGCGAGGGAGTTAACATCTCCTAGCCACCGAGGAGACAATCTCAACCACTCTCACCTACGGCTGGGCAGTCCGGCGGGCGGGCAAAAGGAGGATGGGCCATCGATTGGACTGGACCTCGCCTAGGTCAAACAACCGGGGGCTAACCGGGCTCCAACCGGCTTAGCTTCCTGGGTCTGACGAGATCAGGCGCGTTCAAGGTTGAACTTTTGTCAAGGGCCCTGATATTGACGCGTGGTCCGATCCAATCTGCCAGGTCCACCCTGGGTGGCCGCATGGTGCCGACGGGCCCCGTAGTCGTCGTTGTTGTCATCGTTGTCGTTGCGAGCGTGCGTGCGTGCGTCTGTTGTGCGCGTGGACGCGTCGTGCGTGCTCTGTGTGCCACAGAGCTGTACGAGAGAGACCACGCCGGGGAGAAGGTCGTCTACTGGGAGGTCAAGTATCCCTTCCCGCTCTCAAACAGAGACGTATCCTCCCCCCCGCACCACCCCGCACCCGCGGTTATTGCTGCCACGTCGATCGCATCTCCTCCTCCTCCTCCTCCTCCTCCGCCGCCGGCCGCTGCTTCGGCCTTTGCCTCGGTGTCTTTGTCCCTTAAAGCGAGATGGCCAAGATGCACGCCATCGTAGAGGTTTCTTTTGTCGGGGGCGGGTTAGGTCGCGTAAATATTAATGTGTCGTTAAACCTGCCACCAACAGACACGACCAATTAGTAATGTTTGTCAACGATAACAACACGTGCCAATTAGTTACTACCTCAGCACACCGGTGTGTTGGAGTAAACCCGCAACAACATTGACAATTCGAGTACGGTGACGTTCCGCCGGTAATCACAACAACCAGCATCGTCAGGCGACATCCACAGAGTTGTGGAGAACTCCTCCTCTTGTTTTGGTCGTAAATAGAGTGATACATGTGATGTCGTCACTTGTGAGCCAATCAGCTGTGAAGACCAGAAGAGCGGTTAATGTATTTGTATGAATTACAATGGATATCTGCTCTTGGTTGGGTTATTTCACAATTAATCAACATACATAATGTATGTACATTATGTGCGTACATTATGCATGTGCATTCTGGCATTTACTGAACGAGCAACTGATTGGCGCGTTTTGTTTACGTGACAAACATTACTAATTGGTTGTGTCCGGTGGTGGCGGATTTAACGACACGTTTTACATTTCCGCGATTTAACCCAAAAAAAACTTCTATTATGGATAATATTGGTCGTGAAAGCCAACTGTTACTTCGTGTTAAACCAAGATGCACACCTTGACAGAATCCGGAAAAAAAACACATATCCCCCCCCCTCCCCCCCCGTGGCAAGTGGCTGCAATGTGAGTAATGGAAACCTCAAGATATTTTCGCAAAATTCAAACGAAAAGGTTAATTTGCGGAACGCTGCGAGGCCGGCTTGGAGTATGGTTCATTTGGTGTACGGCACTACCACCACGGTACAAGGCATGGCCTGTAATCCTGTATTATCAGACCCTGTCTCCACGTTAATCCTGTATTATCGCTCCCTATATCCCTTTCAGCCTATGAAGACAATGCAAGTGAAAGTAAGCACAGCAAGGGGAGAGCACAGGAAAGCGAACATTGGACACAGTGCCAGGGTCAGGGTTCAGTGTCAGGGTCAGGGTTCAGTGTCAGGGTTCATTGTCAGGGTCAGGGTTCAGTGTCAGGGTCAGGGTTCAGTGTCTGCGTCAGGGTTCATTGTCAGGGTCAGGGTTCAGTGTCAGGGTTCAGTGTCAGGGGCAGGGTTCAGTGTCAGGGTCAGGGCCGCCTAAGCGACCCGGTGCCCGATATTCCCCGTACGGAGCATCGCGTTCCAGCGCTTAAATCTTCCTTGACTCCGGCATTGATCCCAGAGGCCCCCTCTCCCGCCTGCCCGCCTCCCCACCACCGACTGTACACTGGCGCCACGCCGTGATCACAGTCATCGCTCACGCTTGGCCCATGTCAAACACTCGCAGCGAAACCATTGTCCATGAGCCCCGCGCCGATTCTGACGCTGAGGACAATTGAAATTAAAAACGGCCCATTTCTTTCGAGGCATTTTTTTCCCCTCTCCATCTCTCCCTCCTTTCCCCGCACACCTATCCATGGGCGCGGATGGCTACGTACGGGACGAAAGAAGTTCAACGTACGTGCAGTACATGCATTGAGTGTGATGACAGCAGCAATGCGATGCTACTGCTGGCCACGACGAGAGGGCTTCAGCAGAGAGAGAGTTCAGAGTCCGCGTCATTGTGCTCTCCCTCCTCTGTTGTAGGAGCACAGACTTGTACAGTGGTTTACTGCACGGTCCAGAATAATAGTAATCATTTACAGCCCTGCCCCCACCACCCCCACTTATTACAATCCACGACCAGATTTAATCAGAATCTTTAATTTATACTGGAGGAATCCGATGAGCTATGAAGCTCTTTTTCACAAATGTCCATTAAGGCCTCATCCACATGCTGTGTTGGTCAGGGGGGTTGATTGAGCAACTTCACGGCGTTGGATGAAGCGGGGCAGCCCCACTTGTGATTCGAATAACACCACGGATAATTCCACAGATAACACCACGGATAATACCACAGATAATACCATGGATAATACTGATAATACCATGGATCATACTGCAGATAACATCGCGGATAATACCATGGATAATACCATGGATAATACCACAGATAATACCATGGATAATACCACAGATAACACCACGGATAATTCCACAGATAATACCATGGATAATACTGCAGATAACATCACGGATAATACCACAGACAACACCGCGGATAATACCACAGATAACACCGCAGATAATACCACAGATAACACCATGGATAATACCACAGATAACACCACGGATAATACCACAGATAATACCATGGATAATACTGCAGATAACATCGCGGATAATACCACAGATAACACCATGGATAATACCACAGATAACATCGCGGATAATACCATGGATAATACCATGGATAATACCACAGACAACACCGCGGATAATACCACAGATAACACCGCGGATAATACCACAGATAATACCATGGATAATACCACAGATAATACCATGGATAATACCACAGACAACACCGCGGATAATACCATGGATAATACCACAGACAACACCACGGATAATACCACAGACAACACCGCGGATAATACCACAGATAACACCGCGGATAATACCACAGATAATACCATGGATAATATCGCAGATAATACCGCAGATAATACCATGGATAATACCACAGATAACACCGCGGATAATACCACAGATAACACCACGGATAATACCACAGATAACACCACGGATAATACCGCAGATAACACCACGGATAATACCACAGACAACACCACGGATAATACCGCAGATAATACCATGGATAATATGGCAGATAACACCACGGATAATACCACGGATAATACCATGGATAATACTGCAGATAACATCGCGGATAATACCATGGATAATACCACAGATAACACCGCGGATAATACCACAGATAACACCACGGATAATACCACAGATAATACCATGGATAATACCGCAGATAATACCATGGATAATACCACAGATAACACCGCGGATAATACCACAGATAATACCATGGATAATATGGCAGATAATACCATGGATAATACCACAGATAACACCGCGGATAATACCATGGATAATACCACGGATAATACCACAGATAACACCACGGATAATACCACACATAACACCGCGGATAATACCACAGACAACACCACGGATAATACCATGGATAAAACTGCAGATAACACCGTGGATAATACACCTGCGCCACCGATATTCCCTGTGGCCGGGAACCGGAACGATCGAACGTAGTAGCTCGTCGAGTTCACGATGGAACACACGCTAACCGCTGCACCTCCGCTCCACCCACTAAAGATTTATAACAAGGACGCCAAGACACCGACGGGCTATAACACCGCTTCAAACACATACCGAGGGAGCTTAACCGCAGACGCCTACGGGAAACGAGAGTCACTGTTGCGAACACGACGGGGTGAATGCGTGCCGGCGAAGGTGGATGCACCGGCTGGACGCCGCGACCCGTGAGTTTCCGTGACGGTGCGAGCGCAGTACGTGTACACGCGCGAGCGGCGAGAGATCGAGGTGGGCGGCCAAACCGTGTGGGTCGTCGTCGCCAAGAGCGCCAACGTGCCGGGCATCGTGGAGAAGGCCGGAGTGGTGCGCGTCGCCGACTACCAGCAGAGCCTGGCGCTCACCAGCAACGGCAAGCACGGCACCAAGGGTACGGGGCCCCGGCCGAGGTTACACTCTCCCGTGGTCGTGTCGCTTTTCGCGGCTGTGCTGACGATGCTGCGTGGCTCTCTGAGGCATTGACGTGCCGTGCCGCGTGTTGTTTGGCGCGACGTACGACGTTTCACTCCACGCGCTGGGGAAGCGATGGGGTCATGTATTGGGGGAATCGCCGAGACGACGTGGGTAAACTCGGGGTAGGGCGTTCGACTCCCTTGCCTCGTCCGTGGGTGTATAAGGATGGGCTGCATCGAGCAGTGGAGGCTGAAAGGTAATATCGGGCTTGCAAAATTTTAGAGGTTTAGTGTTGGGATAAAGATTCACTTCTATCACAATTTGATCATGGGCTTGTCTCCGAAGAATTATTCAACCAATATAATTGATCTTCATTTGTTTATTCCAAAGGTGATATCCAAACTATGAACTAAAAACTATTTAAAAATTTACCAGGCGAACTGGGCTGTATAGCTCTTTTTTCAGAAGCGAACTGGCTACAATGATAGCTCAACGAAGTGGCTTGTCATGTGGAAACTTATATCAGCCCAATAATCATCAGCCAAATAATCTAAACGCACGTTCATTCTAAATATGGAGGGAAAAACCAGAAAAAAATTAACGTGACCACGGGGGAGAGAGAGATGCAATTCCAAACATACAGCAGGCGTGAGCGTCGCGATCGAATCCACGACTTCCTGTATACCAGGCAAGGTAGTTAACATCTCACTACTGGAACCGGAACGGCTCAGCGTTGGTCCGATTGCCGCCACCGCCACTGCAGTCGAGACTTTGCCAGCGTGACGGCGGCGGCGGCGGCGGCGCGGTAACGCGAGCCGTCCACATGGTGCGGGGAGAACGCGACGCTGCCAACGCGACGCTGCCAACGCGTGGATTCATCCTCTTCTTTGTTCGCTTCGTCTCGATGCCCCCGGCGCGTCCGACACCCCCCCGCCTCCCCCCGCCTCCCCGCGTTCTCCTGCGCTCTGGTCCCTGCTGCCCTTTCTCACAATTCCCCTTTGCCTGTTGCCGCTCTTGATGAACTAGACACCAAATGGAAACATTTTTGCAAGGAATCAAGTCTGCATTAACCACGCGTAGCTGTGGTGAACATGTAAATAGACATGCTCTGAAAACACTGGTCTGCAGCCAAAATGCTTCCGAAATAAATGTAGACCAACCTTACTAATTCTAGGTCACTGAGAATTAAAATAATGCTTAAAATTGTTGATTGGCTCTAGTTTTCAAGAAATGTTACTGAGGCAGTATATACAATCGTTGACTTGGGAATGGCCGAGGATAAGTGAGTTAAAAGGGAAGGGATCTCAATTTAAACCTGAAATTACTAAAATACATCTTTGACTGGATCTATGAATAAATCTATGACTGGGTTTGGACAGTACTTGCTTTTTGAGTAAAACAATGAATGATGCAATCTGAACCTGGTGTTGTGTCATACATGATATGAATTGCATCATGTTATTGCTAGAAGTCATGGATGATGCAATCATAACTAGGCTTGCATCCCTCTGCTGAACAAATTGCCCTATATCAGCTCTAGAAATCATACAGTGTCATGCTCTCTTATTTGTCAGTGTTTGATTTTAGCAGAGACGCCTTGTACTTGTGTGAACAAAGCAGATAACTTCTGCTATGTTTGTGAAGTGACTTTTGCATCACAAAAGCGCAGTATGACCACTATGGTTAAGAAAGCCTATCACCTTTATTTTGGCTGCAGAAATGGAGCTCAGGACAAGATGTGGGTCCTGGACATATGCTGTAACACTTGTGCAACAAATCTTCGTCAGTGGTTGAACAGGAAAAGGAAATCTATGCCTTTTGCAGTGCCCATGATTTCGAGAGAGCCAACAGATCATATCAACAATTGTTACTTCTGCATGGTGTCTCCATTTGGGAAAGGTGTGTCAAAGAAGAAAAAGTGGACTGTGCATTATCCAAACATTCCATCAGCTATACGCCCAGCACCCCACGGAGAAGGACTGCCGCTTCCTGATGCACCAGAATCATTCTCACTTGAGTCAGACGAGGAAGAGGATGAATCTTCTGGTCCTGAACCATCAAGGTCACATGACCCAGATTTTCTCCCATCCTCCTCCTCTGAACCACACCTCATAACACAAGGTGAATGGAAAGACCTTGTCAGGGATTTGGAACTACCCAAGAGTAAGGCAGAGCTGTTGGGTTCCAGACTGCAGCAGTGGAATCTCCTGGCAGGTGATGTTAGGGTTTCCATGTTCAGTGACTGTCAAAAGGATCTTGTCCTATTCTTCTTTATGGAATGTGATCTTGTAGCCTGCAACAAAATCGATGGTCTGATGGTAGCCCTCAACATCGTTCATGATCCAGATGAGTGGCGACTCCATAATAGAGGTTTTTGGGTTGGATCGCGTAAATAAATAAATGTGTCATTAAAACCCGCCACCACCCGACACAGCCAACTAGTAAGGGTTGTCAGCAAAACAGAACGTGGCCAATTCGTCACTGGTACAGCACACCGGTGTGTTGGAGAGCCAAGCCACAACATTTACAATCTGAGTACGACGTTTCGCCAGTAATTACAACCAGCTTCATCAGGCGACAACCAGATTGGTGGAGAAGTCTTACTGTTTCGTTCCTTATATAGAGGCGTAGATGTGATGACCATCCGTCTGTTTTTTGCCTTTTGCTGATTTTTAAAGTGTTACATGAACAGGACAGGTGACATGTAATCACGTAAAGCAACCATAAACACATGAAAAGACCTAGGTTTACAATGTATGAGTAAAACTCGACTATCTACACAATATACATGTAAAACTGAAATATCTTGTGAACAGTAGCCAATCAGTTGTTTTAATTGTCATATTAGAATTCAGCACATCAAAATCCATAATAAACAGCACATTTCATACTCTTTGGTTCTTTCGGTAAAGTCACGTAGGTATAAAATAAAATACAGCACGAAAGCACATTTCATCTCTGAAGCAGACGCCGTCTAAAATATTGTAGACCAGTGTAATAAGTGTAATCCGCCGGACTCGCAAAACCACCGGACTAGCAGAGGCCCTTCTGCCCGCAGTGGCATCAGAAATTGCAGGACTTCGCTTGTAGTTTTTTTCCTCCAAAAGTATTGAACAAACGATTCAGGTACACATAGAGGGGCAAGCATAGGAATTGCCACCGGTATAGACGCTACGTACAATGACCGTTACCAACAGGACTGCACTTGTTACCTCTCCTTTTCCTTTTCCATCCCTGCTGTACCTCTCTCACTTCCCGTGTCGTGTTTATTTATTTTTGTGTTACTTCTGTTACAACCCAACGCGAACCCGGTGCAGAGCGCCCAGCGCAGAGAGGAGGTGGCAACAGACATTCTGCGAGCAGCAGCAACAGCAGCAGCCCGAGTTGGATGCACGGCAGGGCACAGTGAAGGCCGGTGGGTGGGGGGAGGGGGTAGAATTAGGCTCAGTGTCCCCACCAAGGGGGGTACCACGAGCGGCGGACACGAACGTTTATACGGGGGGGGGGGGGGTGTCCCGTGTCTTTAAAAATATATATTTTCGTTGCTCTCAGCGTGATTTCTACTTCCATTCATTTCTCTCGCTGCATCCCCCGACGCCTCCCTATCCCATTCTGAACTCACTCTCTTCCAGTCGCCCTTCTCTTTTATCATTTCCCCTTCGCCACAACTGCAATTTCTATCAGCACGGACAACAAAGATAACTCTTCCGTCTCCTGTGTCCCTCCCTCCCGTGCGTGCCTTGCGTGCCTGCGGGTGGGTGCAGTGTTCATGCACTACTACGACAACCCCGGAGGGATGATCCCGAGCTGGCTCATCAACTGGGCCGCCAAGGTGAGGGCTCTCGTGCTGGGGCCACCCGGGGCCAGCGGGAACGCCTCTGCGTGACCGCGATTCATAAACGTGCTCTGTGTCTGCAACGGATGGCTCCTTCGCACCACGGCTGGCTTGCGAAAGGCAGAATTTATGCAGTGTAAACGGGTTTTTTTTGGGTTAGATCATGCAAATATAAATGTGTCATTAAACTCCTCCACTTCCAGACAGGGCCAATTAGTTTATCACTTTAAGAAAACGTGGCAATTAGTTACTACTGTGAGCTAAAGTAGTAACTAATTGGCACGTTACTGTGAGCTAAATTGGCACGTTTTGTTTACGTGACAAACATGACTAATTGGCTGGATCTGGTGGTGGCGGCGGCTTTAACGACAGATTTATGTTATGGATATTGGTCACGGAAACCTGCGTGTTAAACTTTCTGCATGTGTGTTGAAATGTGGACGGTGCCAAGAATTATTTCCCAACCACCCACCGCCGCCTCCACCCCGCCACCTTCCTCCTCGTGTGGATGACTGGATAGAGACGGGAGGACGTCACGCGTTCTATCAATCTCGGTCAAAAAAAAATGCTGCGGCTGGAATGGGAGCAAGATAATTGAAGCTCCAGTGCCCAATGCTTTGCGTCGCACAATCGGAATGCATTTTGGACTTGTCAATGGCGTTTGGTGGAGGCGGGCGTCACAGCGTTTAGAGCGGTGCCGCACGAAGCTGGAGGGGCAGAATTGAGTTCCCAGCCACGGCTACCGTCGGTGGCAGAGTGGGTAGCGGTTAGCGCTACGCTGCGCTATGAACCTGGCGACCCGGGTTCGATTTCCGCTCACGGCCAACACCAGTGACGATTATCTGAACCGGTCCCGGGCCTCCCCTAGGTTGACTCAGCCTCAAATGAGTACCTGGTGCGATGTGTAAACATCGCCACCGGGGAAACAAAGGCGGCCGGGCGTGGTGCTGGCCACCCACCCCCTCGTGTACCGTTCCGGCCTTCATAGGTGCTCGCTAACAGCACTTGCCCCTACAGTCTGTTAAGGCTATACGGGGGATCTTTGTCTTTTTTGCTGAACCAGTCCTGCCCCCCACCCTCCTCACCAAGCCCTTCGCCGAACCTGCACGCTGACCAGCGTCGTGATGTCCGGTCATGAAACCCCCCGTGACCGGCACGGCATCGGCAGACCTTCATCCAGCAATGGATCGACGAAGTGTTTCCAGGTTACTCGCCAAATGCAATAATAATAATAATGCCTCGTCCATTGAATCATTTGGACGATTGTCCAGCCGGTTTGTAAATCCACTGTTGGACGAGATCCTCCCGGCAGTGTGTCGTTCACGGGGGGAAGAGGGGGGGGGGGTGGCTATTTTGCTATTTTGCCATACTTCACCAAAGCCAGTTGGGGGTCGGTGGATGCGGGCGGCAGAGAGCTAGAGAGGTACCGGTACAACAAGGCTCCCCCCCCGTCTGGCGCTGACGACCTGCACGTGGGATGTTTCTTAAAAAAATGCCTTCATCCGCGGCGAGAATCCCGAGCGAAGTCGTCGTCGTCCCCCTGGACCCCCCCCCACCACCACCCCCTGCGTGCTCGCACTCGCCCGGCGCGCCGAGGAGCGAGGAGGAACAAAATAAAAAAGGAGCCGTCCGGAACTCCCACGGAATTTTTGGCCAGAATCGCCGAGTGGACAACGTTGCCCACCCCCCCCCGCCTTCTTTTTTTTGTCAGCGCGGAAAACCGCCCCCCTCCCCCCCTCCGGCGACACGCTCGTCATTCATCACGGGGGGCGGAAGTTGGGGGGGGGGGTCGCCGGACAAATAACACGGCGGCGGCGGAGTACGACAAGCACGGAAAGAAGCGCAATTGGCGCCACTTGAAAGTGAAAAGTAGCTCGCCCTTCGACCGGCTAAATCACCCCAGCCCATCTCGCAAGCAGGCCTTTGTTCCTGTTAACAAAAGAGAATGCTTAGAATATTAAATATTTTTTTTCCCAGTAAACACCCATCCATCAATCCTCCGCCCGCCCGCCCGCCCGCCCTGCCCTGCCAACGACGCGGGCGTGCTCTCGCGTTCACCAACCCTCAAGTCCCGATAACAAACCGCACCCCGACGTGGTACGGAGATAAATTGTATCTGTAAGAGATGGAATCGTCATCATCATAGCCAATCCACTGTTGGATGAAGGCCGCCCCAAGCCGCCGTCGCCTCCTCTCACGATCGTGCGATGTGATTCATAATCCACTCTGGTATCCGCACCCGGGCCGATTCCATCGCTCCATCTCCCTTGGCGGCCTCGTTCTCAGGCGCATTCCATCTTTCCCCTCCTTTGACTGCCACTCCGTCATTACCCTTGACCGTCGTCCCTCCGAGCGATGTGTCCTGTCCCACATTGAACGTTACTTTCCTTAACCGTTCGAACGGTGTGTTGATTAACCTTACGTGATGGTCTCCAGCACATGATGCAATAATCCACGTAGCGCACCCACGTACCATCTCGCCGGTGGCCCCGGATGGTGCATTGTCCCTCGTGAGTAATTTATTCACAATTGCTTCCAACTTTATGTAACTACCGTAATCCAGGGGACCAGCGGCATAACTAACGTGGGGGCCAAAGCTACGAGTTTGGGGCCTCCTTGACAAGCACCATGAGATAAGTTGTCAACAAGTGTCAAAGAACAACAACACTAAACACGGAGCGCCCCTACAGCGTTAAATATCCGAGACCGTGAGCGTAACGATGATGTGATTAGGCAGGCAAGGGGAGCCGCGATATATAATAGCTGTGCGGTGCGAAAGAAGTTCAACATAGATAGGTGCGACCGTGCGAGGCAAATCAAAGATTGGGGCCCCCACTTTGACCGATCGCCATACCCCCCCCCCCCCCCACCCAAGCTGATTGTGTCGTCACTAGGCCACTGCCGGGGGCCAACCGTGGCATTCGAAGGCGGTTGTCACCCTTTGATTCACAGTCGAAGCGAAGTGCCCCGTGGCCTCGTGTGGCTTGAGTGCGCTATCCAAAATAGCGTCGCAAGAGGCCGCTCGGGGTGGGCAATTGCCGTGGTCAGCCCTGCCAAGCAGAAGCCTTCAGCGAGCACCGCAGTAATCCTGGCATCGGTCGCGTGCATCCTCACATTGTTGTCAAACCCAAGAAGCATAAGGCGTCCGCCTAATTGCCTTTTAAGATATCCCGAGGCCAAGAATTGTAATAGGTGACAAAGCCTTTGCCGTTGCAGCACCAACATTTCGGAGCAATCTCGTGTCCTCCCTTTACGTAGTGAATCTTTATTTTTAAAAAAAATAATATTCTGATGCAGAAGATTCGTGTTGGTATACAGTCACATTTGCAGATGTGATTTGTATATTGGAGCATGACCTGTGTATCAATAGTTCAATGTTAATGTGCCATTTTATTGAGGGATCGTATTATCTTCGTGTGGTCTGGGACTGTTTTGTTGTTGATTTGCTGCATTTGCCCAATCTTGATAAATCTGACTTACATATATGACATTTATTTTTTATGAAAGAACTTACCATTTTCTCTATTTTGCGCTCCTATCGTGTTTGGTATCGTTTGCTATTGTAACCCGCTGCCCCCTCGCCCCTACTGGACATCTGTGAGGAAGAGCTTCATAGCTCATCGGATTCCTCCTGCAGTCTAAAATAAGGATTCTAATCGTGGTCTCCATCAGAACCGCCCTCTGGCCCACACACACCGACTCAGCAGCAATGAGAACTTCTGACATGAAGGACCCCTTACAGCTATGGGAAGATGATACTTAATCGCAAGACCCTGCTATTTTTGTTATTGGTAATATTTTAGTTGCGTCATTGACAAAGTGAAAGTTAAATTCTTTAAATATTTTTTCAACATCGTTTTCCATGATACTGCGTTGGCAGTGGTACGCGTAATACGTGTGTAGAGGAGTAGTGTGAGCAACCATGAGGGGGCGTACAGAGGGAGGTGCGAGCGAGTTGACAGCGGAGGATGACGTCACGACACGGGTGCTGTAAGGGGGTACACCTTCGGGAACAGAGGCGGGTCCGAGTTAGGGGGAGGAGCCATGCAAGGGGTACTTAAGGGGGACCCCGTGACGAAGGCGTGGTCGTTGTGGGAGCCCGGAGCAAGGATCGGCTGCAGGAGGTCTCTCCCGCTCGTCGCCGGACGGTGTTGGCGGAACCCCCGTCCGGGGCAGATGATTGGGAGAGCCAAGGGGGATGGCCGAGAGCGGGGCTCCAAGTATTCAGTGAGGATCGGCTGAGAGAGCGTGGGGTTCTTCTCTCCTCGTTGCCGGGCGGTTTTGGATGAGCCCCTGCCCCGGCCCGAGTGAGAGAGCCCAAGGGATAGCCGAGGGTAGGACGGCATGGAGTTCGGGGGTCCACGGTAAGGACCAAGAATAGAGAGCACCTACTCCTGGTGTGAGCTTGAGTGCTGAACATGATAGTGCTAATAAACGGCAATCACCCTTACAGTAAACTCCATTTTCGCGTGGTTCTACTAAACAACACGTGCATTGCGGAGAACACGTGCAAAGTGAAGATTCGTAAGAATGATTAGAGAAAGGCGAGGTAGATTTTTTTGGATATTATAAAAGAAGAGACTGAACATAAATGTGTTTTTACTGGGGAAATTGTAGGTACGATAAGCCGGGAAAGACAGAAATTCAGTTACTCCATAAAGAATTTGAGTAGCTGGATGCAATTGGGAGAATATAGTGCAAAGTTCTTGAGTAAATATAGAGAGCTGAATGGAAGGAAGGCCATGATCTCAGGCGTATTTTACAAAGGACACGGCACATAGAGAGATGTAGACTCATATTGCCCATTAACTTACATTGTCCATATCTAGTGGTTGAACTTTACACGAACAACTTTGGTCTTTCTTCAACCACTTCTTTATTTTCATCGTTTAACACGTCCTCCACACTCCACCGTATCCTGGACACCACGGCTCGCTCGCCGTGCTTCGCCCGTCTCGCTCCCCACCTTGGTTCCCAGTATCACGTCGCTTTGCTCCGCACACACGTCTTCAACTCTTCTATTCCTACGCGCTCTCCACTGCTGGCTATCCTCCTCAGCTCCTCCGCTCCTCCGCTATACAGCGTCGTCGCACACACAGCGAAACCCAATCTCGCTTCTCTGTCTCCGCACACCTCGTCTCCAGCTCCTCTATCACTACGCTCACTCCACTGCTAACTGCTCCGCCTTCTTCAGCTTCGCTATCACTATGCTCTCTCCACTGCTAACTGCTCCGTCTTCTTCAGCTTCGCTATCACTATGCTTACTCAACTGCTAACTGCTTCGTCTTGCTTCAGCTTCGCTATCACTATGCTCCAACTCTCTTCTAAACTCTGTTTCCGAACTCCACGTCTTCACCGCACAGCTCCCAACTCCAATCTCCCCCTCTCTCTCTCTCTGTCTCCCCCCAATTTATCCCCATTCTCATTATCGCTAATTAATTGGTCCGCGTGCCTCCCGCACGCCTCGCGTCTTCAACCACCTGCCTTTTTCCAGACACCTCGACGCCTCCTCGGCCCCAGCAACAGCACCAACCAATCACAGCCCTTCTGGCTTAATTGGCCCGACCGTTACGTCATCACCCCAGCCTCTTCACCTGGCTGTCCTCACACGACCCCACTGTTTCCGCCGTCTCCTCGGGCTGACCCCAGATAAACCCCACACTGTCCGTGTGATCAATACATTCGTGCAGTTTTCCCAGCACACCTTCCTACTCCACTACACATATACTAACGTTGCCCATAGACTTACATTACCTAAAGACTTACATTTCCCAAAGACTAACATGGCCCATAGACTTACATTGCCGATAATGTAACAAGTCGTTGAGTAAATATCATGGACATAGCTACATGGACGACGCCTTTGAGAACGGACAAGGGGGGAGGAGGAGGAGGAGGAGGGAAGTGGTACACGAGCACAGATAACGACAAAAACTCAGCGCATTCGTCACTTAACAAAACGTCGCCCGTTCCCTTTCAGTCCGGCGTGCCGGCGTTCCTGACGGACATGCAGAAGGCCTGCCGGGGCTACAGGGACTACTGCCAGAAGGCGGGGAAGCCTCTCTGACGTGGCCGGGTGCGGGATTTCTCCACCGGCTCTGCCACCGCTCTCTGCGTCTCCCGTTTACCGCGGAAGACGAATCCGGGGGGCGGCTTTTTGTGTGCGTGCACGGCGCGTGTAGATTTTTGTTTTTTTCCATTAGTGCACGGTTTTTTTTTTCAAACGGCGGCTGAAGTGTTCCCGTCCCAATAAACGTGCGCGTGCGTGCGTGTGCGTGTTACGGCTCCTCCGGCAGCCAAGGCTGTAGCCCGCATGCCCAGCCACCGCATGCCTAAACAGGTTTTGTTCGCCCGGATCGAGGGAGCTAAACGGGCGTGGCACGGGCTTGAGAAGAGATGGAGTGATGTGGTACAGGAGGACGTGGAGCTGAGTGGACTTGCCGACGACCGGTACCAGCGGTGTCAAGATCGGCCTCTATGGAGGAGGCTCGTGAAGGACGCTACTGGGCTAGAGCCAGGCTAGGTGCACCTTGAGGCTACTGGGCAGTTGGAAGCAGTCGCCCTCCAACAACAACGGAGGGCGGAGGAGCGACGCTCACAACAACGAGCGGAGTGCCGGGTGGATAAAGCCCAGCATGTTGGCACAGTAGGGGGCACAGGTGGTGCATCAGCCAGTCGTCTCAGTCGACCCGTGGCACCTGGGTCTGCCCTGTGACCTCCTGCCAGTGGGCGTTCGACACTTCACGTGGCCTCAAGGTGCACATAGCCTGGCACAAGCGTCGTGGTGACGTCGCCGCCACTTAGTGGCGAATGGCGGTTGTTGTTGTTGTTATGGCTCTCTCGTTCGCGATCCGCTGGCTCGCGAAGCTTCAATGAAGGCAACCGAATGAGGCACGCTGTGGTTCCAATGAGAGCGGACTGCGACAGAATCACCCATCTTGCTGATATTAGTCAACCAAATGAAGGGGGGGGGGGGGGGGGGGTAGGCGTGTCGCATCATCACTCGATCGACGGATCAATTTGGCAATGAATCGACACGGCAATTAATCCGCATATTACGATTACACCCGGTATTTTTTTTATGTTTGTGAATTACGGATCGACTGAGCGGAATCGATATAATTAAACTCGATTAACGATCCACAATACCATGCATGTATGGGCAAATCTCTGATCGGTGATTCCATCGGGTGTACAATTGTATCGCTCCGTTACAGCGCCAGGTCTCGTGGCCGGCGTACCAATCAGGAGCACCGTTGGGCAAGTCGCGCCGGCGTGTTTGCAATGTCGTCACCGCGTTGCAGGATGACGTCGACGTTATTGTTGCGAGGTGACGTCACTCGCCTCCGCACGTGGCCCCGTCGATCTCGGACAACGAGCCGTGCCGTCGTGATTCGTTGAGATTCCTGACCGATGGGATGCCCCCCCCCCCTCCCCCGGCCGGCATCGGCGGCAAGATCACCGCAGCTGCTCGATACGAGCGTGGCCACTTCGGCCCATGCCGAACGCCGCGACACCGCGGACGGAGTGTCGCAAACACTTCAGGTTGCATCGGCTTGAACGCTCAAAGAAAAAACAAAACAAAAATAAAAAACCGCGTCGCACGTTGACAACAAGACGTGAATTGCTTTCGAATGAAAATGCAGTGTCTTTTTTTTTTCTCCCCGGGTGTACATTGACATAAATGTGACTGCGACAACCACAAGTCAAGGCAATAAAGGTGTCCTGTGCCGTGGCACGCGTAAATACTCGTCTGCATCTGCGCGCGCAAGGTCACCACGGCGCGTATAAAACATTTGGGAAGTGGTTTATGAATGCGGGGTGATGCACCCAATGCATCCCACGATAATTCACGTCTGTGAATGACGAGGGAAATCCATCACATCGGAGTAAACAAAAATACTGCGGGCCGAAAAAAATATAGCAAACGACACACAATGAGCAGCATTGCACGAGTTCGAAAAACACTCAGCCTTGCCCAGACCACCAACTCAAAGCCATGACCGTACTGATGATTCCATAATGAGGGTGAAACCGGTCTATTGTTGCGTCTTTGTGTCGCCGCGGCCTGTCGTTGGGATGGCCACATTTTCTCGACTCCCTCGAGTCCGTAGTCGTAAGCAACAGCAGCGCCACCACACATTGAGTTATCTCTCGAGCCGGTGGCCTGCATCAGGCTGAGCGCCTCTCGTATGCGCGCTGCTGCACGTTGGCACAATTTAAGGCACCTCTCTTTAAAACACGAATTGGCCCGTATATATTTTGAAACATTCCGTAAGGGGCCGTCCATGAATGACGTCGCGCACCTGGGGGGGGGTCAGATTTTTGTGACGATGTGTGACGACGGGGGGGGGGGGGAGGGGTGAAAAATGTGACGTCACATCAAAATGCGCAACTTTAAATAAATATAGAATTGTTATAACAACACTAATTGTTATAACAACGCTCCTGCAACATCAGAGTGCAGCGCCACATTTAAATACGCACTACAATGACAACAATAGTTTAAAGCGATTTGAAGCATGTTTTTTTTTTCAAAATGGAAATGTTTTTTTGGGGGGGGGGGCAAAGCTTTGTGACGTCATATTTGAGGGGGGGGGGTCAAAAATCGTCCAAAATCGCGTGACGTCATTAAAAACGGCCCCCTAACTTCAGTTCGGCGACACATCACCGCTCCCTGTATAATTCAAGGACTCGCGCTGCGCTCGCGTGTAAGCGGAGATTGTCTGCACGCGGCAATCGGATGGCGGGGATCGCCGAGCGCGCATCAATCTCCGCGCGTGTGACTACAACAATACGCGCGTTTGTCTCGTGTCGTCAATTTATAATGGCATGCGAGCTCACGGTAAAGAGATGGCCCAGCCACACCCAGCACTGTATGTAAACATGTCATTACGACAGTCCGCCCAAAGCCTGCCGTTGGTTTCCTGCGTACGGAACGCCCGTGGCCCTTTCGCCTTCACCTCGCAGCCGTTTGCTCCGGCCCTCCACACACCACCCCCCAATGCCTTCCATAAACCAAAGAGAAAAATAAAAAGAGTCGAGGAACTCGCATGCCATGCCGAGCGCGGGGAAGGATGGAGGGTAAATCAGAGGTTTCAGTGAAACGGCTTCAGGTCCAATTTCCACCGTTATCCAAAAAATGATTCGTAATGGGTTTTTGGGTCAGGTGGTGCAAGTATGATGTGTGGTCGTAGAAAACTTCCTACACCTGGCACTACCATTTAATAACGATGTCAGAATCAGGATTTTAATTTATCCTGGAGGAATTCGATTAGCGATTAAGCTATTTTTCATCGCTAATCGGGGTCAGAAAGTTAAAACAACTCAATACAAAAAAACGATCGGAGTGCAAAAGTATAGGAAATGAAAACAAATCACTGAAACTAAATACGTAAAATAGATAAAGTGTATGTGGTAACATTGCATAAGTACACCAATTCCTAAGCTTGGGCAAGATGGCAAAACAGCAAGAACAGTCCCAGACCACACTTAGACAATGACACACAGTCCCCAAATAAAATTGGACGTAAATTTTGTACTATTGATACATGAATGAGGATCAAAGTTTTAATCACATTTGCAAATGCAGTTGTATTCAGAACTGATCTCCTGCTTCGGGATATTTTTTGAAGATGTACAATTTTAAGGGGGGAAACAGGATTGGTCCTAAACGTTGTTCCACACACATTTGTCGTGTTAGCGGAGCGGGAGACAAGGTTCTTAAGGAGGCGCCTTCTTTATTCAACAATTCAGGTTCACAGGTTCGCCCTTGCTTCTCCCAAGTCGTCGAGCCGAGCCCTGACACAACCCTGACCGTGTTACACCGACGGTGCCGACCGAGGCGGCCAACAACTATCCGGCCGCGCAATATCCAGCGAAGACGGCAGGGACGACGAGACGAGTCCACTTCCCAGAACCGGCAGCCCTGAGCTCCCGTTCTCCGCTGCTTTTATGCCAGGGAGGAGCCAGGCCGCACCTCCCTTCTCGAACCCACGAGCGGGTTCCAGGGGCTTCCAGATGGGGTCTTTCATCACCCTTGCCCCAGTTCCTCCGCCCTGCCGACACACACCTGCGTCTATGCTCACCGGCGTGTGTACTGCTCGTCCACCGCAGTTGCCGTGGCTGGACAGCAGTCGGCGCTATGGCACTACACATTTAGCAGGGTGCGGGCGTTTCGCATCATCAGGCAGATGCCAGAAATATGCCAAATTGTTAAATGTTTGTGGACTGCTCTCCAACGCACCGGTGCTGCTGAAGCAGTGACACACTGGCACGTTAGTTCACGCGACAGCTTTGTTTCTTGGCTGTGTCGGGTGGAGGAGAGTTTACGACACACATTTTACTTGCGCCATCTGACCCAGATTTTTATTTTGAAGAAATATTAATTGTGAAAGCCCACACGTGCGAAATCCAGAAGGTGCCCTGTTGCCAGCTGTGTGTGATAAGGTGTACCTTTAGAGCCATGCTAGAGCCAACCCCATTGAACAACCGCCATACAATCGTGAAAAAATAAGACGGCTTTACCCTATCTGGCAATAAAATGTGTTAAGATGTTCAAACACCAAACAGATACATTTTGCATGTTATAGTCTACATTAGCCAAGACAATGTATACACTCTTTGGTTCTATTCGATAAAGTCACGTAGGTAAAAAATAAAACAACAAAAATCACGACGTTTCGGCTACAACACAGCCAAGCTCAGACCGCGACCTTTAAGCTGTATGAGAGTAATTAAGGTGCCTTGACAAAGGACTTAGCATAAAAATTAGCATTTTAATAGGCGGACTTAGCATGATGAAAGGTGGGGAGGGGTCGACCTGTGCAGGCTGGCGAGGGGGCACGGCAGCGTCCACATGCTGGTGGTGTGAAAAGGGGATTTTAAGCTGTGAAAGTTTGGGGTACCACTACTTGAAAAATATACTGTACCATTGAAAAATTAGTTTAATGTTTGGTTCGATTTAGAATATCTTTCCAATGGTTGCTTAATTTGAAACCATCTTCTCGGTTGAAATTGTGTCTGTGTTTGTAGATCTGAATTGCCTCGTGAACAAATCTCTGATAAAAACCCGTGGGTTTGCAAAGAACCTTGGTATCGGAGAAAATTATATCATGATCACCCGCAGCGTTGTAACAGTGATCAGCTACAGCAGAATAATTCTGCCGTGTTTCAAATCTGAATTCTGCCGTGTTTCAAATCTGATTTGTGCTCGCGAATATCAGAGCATGTTTGTTTGCATGTTTTGCCACAAGTATGTATGGTTAATTCAGACTTCATGTCTTGCAAAAGGTATGTAGGTGTTTGAACATCTTAATACCCGTTTTATTGCCAGATAGGGTAAAGCCTATTCTTATTTTTCATGATTTTGGATACTGGCAATACTAATACATTTCTAAGAACCCGCTTCTAAAGGCGATGCAGGAATTATGTGACGCTACGGTGAACAGCGAGAACGATAGATAATCAGTGTTCTCTAAACTCTACCTTAGAATTTAACTTTGATGGATCATAGTTGGTTTCAGATTGTCCACAGAGTTTACGATACTTGTTAAGTGGTTGGCAAAACAGATAACAATTTAGTCCTGGAATCCAAATGTCAAGTAATTTCAGCCCACCAGGTTTCCAGTCTCCGACGTTCAAGCGCGAATCACGACGATTGGTAAACTTGGGAAGAATCTGCGATAAAGCGGAGAGCAGGATTTAGAAGTGTTGGGATAGGCTGCCAAAGCGTTGTCCTGCAAGACCCGTGCGTTTGCTATTCCACTCTGAAACCGAGCCACGTTCCTGCGAGGCATCATAATTTAGAGAGCACGACACGACACCACCACCACTGGTAACGTCTAAATACGGCTGGATACGAACACCTGGCCAAATGTTCTTCGGTGACCAGCGATGCGGAGTTAATCCAGACGTCGACTCAACACTTTCAGTTCCTTCCCGTCTCTCAAGTTCTTAAGAGGACAGTGGGGCAATGTCGGTCATTTCACGCGGGATTTCGTTGGTTTGGTATGCTACCTACCATTATGGGGTTTTTTTCTGAGACGAATATCTCCTTGATTTATACCGAGTAGCAAACCACGGCGACCAATAAGCCTCGTTTTCAGTGACCCGGGCTACAAAGCTACACACCCCGGAAACATTCGGTCGCAATGTCGAACGTCGTAGCCCCTGGCAGAAAAATGAACGTGCGAAGGAGCAAATTTTATTTGTAATATCACGGGGGAAGGCCCGTTGAGCCCGCGAGCTTTTTCTCAAGATCAACGCCCAGGAGGAGACGGGTCCGGCAACGGGCACAGCGGATCAACTCAACGATTCGTCAACGCAGCAGCAATACAACAAAGCGACACGTAAACCAAGAACTGCAAAACACGTTGAGCAATAACAACGCACGAAAACGATGACAAAAAATGTAAAAACTAAATATCACGTAACCAATACCAAAATAAATGCATGGAAGCCATAAGACATGTAACAAATAATGTAAATAACATGTAAACAGTAACAAAATGTGAATGTAAATAAGCAAACATGCAGACAGAACATGTAAATAATAAAACGTGAATCTTTACAATGAGAATATTTATTTAGGCTAGAGGAATTCGATGGGCTATAAAGCTCGTTTTCAGAGATGTACAGCAGTTTTCACAGATGCCCAACAACAATACATGTCAACAAAACGCGAATATAAAAACATTGAAACGACAACATGTGACCAATAACACATGTCCACACCAGAACACGTTAACAATAACAGCATCACATGAACAAAAAACCTGAAAATAAATTTCTGGCAGAAATACTTCCAAGTGAGCAAATATATTTTTACGACAATCGGCAAAACATTAACTCCAAAAGATGCATTTATAAACGATACAAAAGCACACCTGTAGAACTTACTTTCCAGCGAGGTACATTTCAGTTGTAAAATTATGTACGGTTTCTGCCCAAAAAGCAATATAATAATTTACATTTGTAATGCGCATTTCATTCGCAGATCACAATTCGCCGATGATGGCCGAGCTCGGGATCAAATTTGTCCACTCAAAGCTCACACTGGGAAGCAACAACTTGTTAACAGCGAGTGAAACGATGTTCTTGTGTGTGCAAAGGAGCAACCACGGTGACATGAAAACAACCCGAGAGCCAGCGTTTAATAATGGGACACCACGCAGGCGACGTCTAGTTACATCCAACTGCAGGCATTTAAAAAGTGGAATCAGCCCGACGACCAACGCAGCGGTGATCGCGAAAGTAAAATCGCTCGAAACGAACTCAAACCGGAGGGAATACATACGCGGCGGGCATTGCGTCATTGGTGCTCCATCACCTCGAATTCCAGAATGAAGACCCAACTGGTGACCTCGCTCCTGCCGTACGGATTATTGATACAAGCAAAAAATCCACCGTGCAACAATCCCCGTGGCATGTTCTCCCCCCCCCCATCCCATCCCTGGTGCAATCTACCCGTAAACAATGACACGCCAACCAAGGAGCGGCCTGACTGGCACATCACCAGGTGCAATAAAATGACAAGCCCGCGGATATCCGCCAACTTATTTTAGCAAGTCCTTGTTCATAGTTGGGAGTGAATTGGGTGGAATTTTTTTTTTATTCGATGGCAAGTCGTCCGGTTTCCAGGTTGCATAATGCTCGAAAAATCCACACACCAACGGTGCCCTTGGCTTTGGCCGCAGGCTAAATTATAACTATTAAGGCCCTTTGTCCATTCACTGCAGAATTAAACGAAACACTTTTATTAACCAGATAAAGTCCACTCGGCTATTAACCCTTTTTCAGAAGCGACCTGGTCACAAATGACAGGTCAACGAAATGGCTTATCACGGACATTTATAGCAGCCAAATACTCTAAACGCGTGTTGTTGATTCTAAATGTGGAGGGGAAAACCGGAGAACCGAGAGAAGACTCCACGCAACCACCGTGGAGAATATGCCAACTCCATATATCCAGGCGTCATAGTTGAGATCGAACCCTCGACCTCCTGTATACCAGGCAAAGGTGATAACATCTCGCCACTGTGAGATGGCCCTCTCTTGCCATGTTGGTTATGACAATGACCATACTTCACCATGCTGGTTATGACAATGACCCCCTCTTTCCATGTTGGTTATGACAATTGGCCCCCTCTTGCCATGTTGGTTATGACAATGACCCCCTCTTGCCATGCTGGTTATGACAATGACCCCCTCTTGCCATGCTGGTTATGACAATGACCATACTTCATCATGCTGGCAAGTGCGGGTTGATGGACCCGGTTCAAATATCGTTCACAACCGACGTTAAGACATTGGCGAGAGTCAAACTTGGGTTTCCAGGCGAGTAGTGCATTTGCGCTAACCGCTCTGCAGACGCTTCACTCCCAGAAGATGAATGCCGGGTTGAATGTGCAATCAGGGTTGCGCCTCCCCTCAACAGAGCCTGGCACCAATGTGATCGCCACGCATTCCCCAACACCACATAGCTGAAAGTCACCATCGATTTGTCGATTTCCTTATGCGACACGGCACATGCGCAGCATTTAACCGTTTGTGTATCCTTCGACTTTTACATAATTACAATAGAAATATATCAGCAGCAGCCATGGTTAATCCACTGCTGGATTATTCCCTCTCCACAGGCCACCCAGCGCCTGCTCATGGAACTGAAGGTAAAACATTCACATTTAAAATAAGCTATTTGTAATTAATGTTACCAGGTGTGGCCCATTGAGCTAGATTGCTCTTTTTCAGAAGCGGCTTATATGGAAATTTCTGGCAGCCACGCAAACTCCAAATATACAGCAGGCGTCAAGAGTCGGGATCGAACCCACGACCTCCTGTATACCGGGCGAGGTAATTAACATCTCCTGGCCACCGTGGCGCCCGTAGTGCCGTGCTGTGTAATGGGACGAGAGAAAAACGCCGATTGGTCGCGTTTGCAATTGTGTTGGCTCGCACTTGGGTTGGTTCTGACTTGAGAGCTCTCGCCACGTACGACTGGCAAGCGGTGCCCTCACTCACAGCGGTGCCCTACACCTTCAGGGCACACGATTACTTGAGCCGCGAGTGTGCGGTGTTTGGTTGTATCACGGTGGAGCACTCGGCCGTGGTTCATCGCGTACTCTTCACACACTGTGGTCGAGTCAGATTAGCCTCTGTTCATTAATTTAAAAAAAAAAAAAATTACGTGGCATCAAATGCTCACGCATTCAATAGAAAATCTTAAGATGATTGATATTAATTGTAGGCATCCGTGTATCGGTGCAGTGCCAATGGTTTGTGTGGCTGCTCGGTGCGGCGTTTCCTTCCCCGTGTCCTTCACAATTCTGCTCCAATATTCAGTGTCCCCACTGCCGGGCAAAGCAACCAACTAACCAACCTGTGAGCAGACGTCCCTCCTATTAAACTTTACTTCCATGCAGACTTGACATTTGCAATCGAAAATGACTCTTTACACCGATCTAATCAAACTCCATAAAATTCTGAAACATCTGCAATAAAAACAAAAAGATAATTCCGAGAAAATTCTGCATTCATCCCAAATTGTAAGCGGATAAGAACCACAACAAAAGCAGACCGATTTCGAAAGTTCTTTTTACTTTCACATTTTTCCAAAAACGTTTACTGGTGCACGAGGTATCGTGCTATACATGGTAATTGTAGACAAATGTGTTCTCAATCTTTCACGCGACCGATGCACGTTTGTGATGTAAGAGCACCGACGGGCACATTAGCGGTGGCGAAGGCGCTCGCCCGCGTTCAAACGTAAACGCGCGACTATCAGCGGCCCGCCAGCCCAGATGCGGCTGGCGAAGGAACGCGTGACAGCGGTAATGATCATAATTACACTCTAAAAAAATATATATATATAAAGGGACGCTGACAAGCGTAATGGCCTCACATTTGGACGCAATTATGTAATTGGACACAGACGCTGCTGCTGCTGCTGCTGCTGCGGTGACGATGGGAGACGAGAAAGGGTCGCGCGTGCGCACGCAAGCACAAAGACAAAGATCCCCCGCGTAGCCCACACAGGCTGTTGTGGGGTAGTGCCGTTTGAAACATCTACGGCGGTGAGTACGGCGCACAAGTTGGGGGGGGGGGGGGGCGGTGGTGTGGCCAAGCATCATGGTGCGACGAGGAGTTCATTTTAAAGACGAGATGACCGAGCGGAGGCCCACGACCGGTTCAGATGCTCGACATCAGGAATCGATTGCAGATTGTTGGATTTTGTAGCGCAGTGCCCCAACCACTGCGCCACCGGTCCCCCCACGCATGCACACACGCACGCGGAGACGCTCGCACACGCGCACACAGACACGCACACAGACACGCACACAGACACGCACACAGACACGCACGCGCGCACCCAGACACACGCACGCACACGCCCGTGTAAACAGCCTTCACAAAGAGGCGTCGCGCACCAGGGAGGGGAACGCCTCCGCGCCCTCGCATAGGATGGAGTACACGGCTCGGTACACGGCGGGGAAGGGAGGCCGGGCGGGGTCCAGCGTGCTGAGGAAGGGAAGGAACTCATCGGCGATCGCCTGCCCGTTCCCAGGGAGCCCGCATGGGAGGGGAGGGGGCAGAAGTGGGGGAGGGGAGACATCGGGGCGGAGGGGGTCGGTAAAAAAATGGAATAAACGACGTCACGTTCGCGTGATTTGCCAAGGGTGGATCCACTCTTTCCCGGGTACTGCGGCATAACGCTGGGAGGCGCTCACTTTGTTCGCGGTAGCAGTGGCTGGCGTGCGTAGCTCCTGAATGCAGCCGCACTGTCATTCTCCCCTTGCTCAATCGCACACATCCCGCAGAGTCCGTGCCCTTTGCCCATACCGATGAGCACGTAATCTCGGTGCACCTTATTTTACTCAAGCTTTGCAGCAAGTGCCGTTTGTAACAGATTTGCCTGTACAGATTTAAGCAAATTTTCCTGCGGTGCGCACCACGCGTGCAGGCATTACGTCGACACGGTAATGCCCACACAGGGCAACGTGTATCATTGGTGACTTGACCGATACAATCTACCATTCACCTTGCTGAACCCGATCTGATCACAGGTGCACACACTCAGGCTCTCAGCGGTACCAGCTCTGAAATCACACGAGCTTCCCGAGCCACTGGGCCACCTCCATCGTACATAATGTCCTAAACGATGTACCTCCCATTCCTGCGAATCACCGTCATCAACATAAGCAACAATCACCTGCTGTACACGCTGAAGCAACTGCAGCCACGCCATGTCGTGCTGCATGCTCGCCATTTCCTTCAGCTCCTCCGCGGAGCTGTACGTCACCACGGGCCTCATCAGCTGCTCGGCAAAGCGGGTCCCCGGCCTTCCGTGGGGCAAGCCCGCACTCGGCACCTGCAGACGGTGGCCCGTCGCAGACCACCGCTCGGCCACTAAATCAGGGGCCGCCACGGCCGTCCACAGATGTCGCGGGACGGGGAGGGGAAAACTTGAGCTTACACGCAGGGGACAAAGTCTCACGTGGACTAGAATGAGTTTTCCTATAAAATAATAGCACAATTGTTTTGTACACAAATAATATAATACAGTCAATCGACTGATGGATGTATGCGTGCTCAAATTGTTTCGCACAGTACGTAGACAAACACGGCGTTAATCGGAGGTGTGGATCAAGGCCTGCCCGAGCCATAACAGTCATTGGGGTTGTTTGTTCAAACGTCGCTGTGCTGGTAATTGCGGGGTTGGTGAAGAGGGCACCCAGGACCGATTCAAACATCATTCACCACTGATGTTAGCCGTGGCTGGGAACAGAACTCGGGTCAGCGAGTTCACAACTGCGTCACCGCATGACACGCAATCTTGTACCGTATTCACCCAGAAAAGTCTCAGAAACTGTCAGCGTTAACCAGTGGATGACAATAACTGGCCTAAGCCACAAACACTCGACAGGGGTGACAGTTATCTGGGCGGTGGCTATGCAGCGCTGTGGCGGCACTGAGGGTTGTGAATCTCCTTTCCTTCCCATGGACGTCGAGGAGGAATTTATACTGGTGGCCAGCAACCAAAAATGACAAGAAGAGCCGTTTTTTTTCCCCAATTCGGTAGAAAAGGTCAATATTTCAAGAGCCGCAATGCGTGTGAATAATGTCAATAAGCAGTCCTTAAGGAGCAGCATGCGGCTCCGGAGCTGCAGGCTGCCGACCCCCGAGTTATACCCTGGCTCGCAAGGTGAAGGAATTGCAGAAAAAATGTCGACAACCACCTGTTCCATCTTTATGCGACAAAAGTGCGCCCTCCTCGCACACATGGGCTTTCTCAGGGTGAACAGGATTTCTCCCACGTGTAAACACTCATTTCTTGGCCAATAACACCTTTGTATATGCAGTAAAACCTTGTATTGCGAGCATAATTCGCTCCGGAAAGGTGTTCGTAATCCAAAGCACTCGCATATCAAAGCACTCGTGTATCAGTTGTGATCACGTGACGCTCGGCAGACAAAGCGTGTATACGTACTACTACTCGTATTGCAAGACCTCGCTCGTTTATCAAATTAATATTTATTTAAAATGTTTGCTCGTCCTGCAAAACACTCGCAGACCAAGGTACTCGCAATCCAAGGTTTCACTGTATAGGGGACTGCAGAGCTTGGGAAATTGTTGGAACCAGCTCATGTCGTGGCTGCCTTCCTGCTTGTCTGTGGTTCCTTCTCATGCCTTTACAAGTTGAAATCATTACTCTTAGAATTGTTGGACAAATTAAGGAATTGGCAATGGATTCAAGACACAAGAGCACAGTTGAGAAGATGCCCAAAGAAATGGCCGAATAGCAAGGTTCGCTATGTATGGTGGGAAAGAAGTTCAACATACCTACAAGACTAGGGGAAAAGGGTGCGGGTGCATTTGAGGGGCATGACTTCACTGTCGAGACACTTTCATCAGTTTGAATTTGTTTTATTTGTTACACGGATGATCCCGTTTTAGCCAAGTTGCCCAGGTATTTTACAACGGAGATCCATGGTGTGTGAGCACAGCAGCAGCAGCAGCAGCAAAGCCAAGACAACAACATGGAATATCGCAGAGAGCGGATTCAGAAATAATGTACAACCAACAAACTAGGAATATAACTAATGGCCGCAAGTGGAACACAGCCGAATAAAAAAAAGAAAACAGTGCGAATATGAGAGCACAATGCGTCGGGGAGAAAGTTAGGTACATGTGCAAGTAAACTCTCTATTTTAGTCTCAACAGTGACAGAGAAGATTCAATGCAGAGATCTTCCGCATACCTTGCTGCAGCTGGGCGACCTCCTCCTGGAGCCTGGAGATGAGCAGCTGGCACTCTTCCAGAAGCTTCGTCCTCTTGCACAGCGCTTCCCAGCCAAGGGACTCTGGGAGTGAAGGACACGCGGGACACAAGCGGCGACGTTGAACCGTGAAGCATCCTGGCTGGGGTGAGCGTGTGGTGCAGGTCAGAGAACCCCAGTGTTGGTAGTAAACCCCTGGCTTCAGTTAGCAGGTGGTACAAGTCAGAGAAACCCAGTGTTGGTAGTAAAACCCCTGGCTTGAGTTAGTATGTGGTGCAGGTCAGAGAAACCCAGTGTTGGTAGTAAAACCCCTGGCTTGGGTTAGCATGTGGTACAAGTCAGAGAAACCCTGTGTTAGTAGTAAAACCCCTAGCTGGGGTTAGCATGTGGTACAAGTCAGAGAACCCCAGTGTTGGTAGTAAACCCCTGTCTTGAGTAGGCATGTGGTACAAGTCAGAGAAACCCAGTGTTGGTAGTAAAACCTCTGGCTGGGGTTAGCATGTGGTGCAAGTCAGAGAACCCCGTGTTGGTAGTAAAACCCCTGGCTGGGGTTAGCATGTGGTACAAGTCAGAGAAGACCAGTGTTGGCAGTAAAACCCCTGGCTTGGGTTAGCATGTGGTACAAGTCAGAGAAGACCAGTGTGGCAGTAAAACTCCTGGCTTTCCATGAAGAAAATGTGCGTACAGTGAGGGAAAAAAGTATTTGATCCCCTGCTGATTTTGTACGTTTGCCCACTGACAAAGAAATGATCAGTCTATAATTTTAATGGTAGGTTTATTTGAACAGTGAGAGACAGAATAACAAAAAAAAATCCAAAAAACGCATGTCAAAAATGTTATAAGTATTTGACCCCTCTGCAAAACATGACTTAGTACTTGGTGGTAAAACCCTTGTTGGCAATCACAGAGGTCAGACGTTTCTTGTAGTTGGCCACCAGGTTTGCACACATCTCAGGAGGGATTTTGTCCCACTCCTCTTTGCAGATCTTCTCCAAGTCATTAAGGTTTCGAGGCTGACGTTTGGCAACTCGAACCTTCAGCTCCCTCCACAGATTTTCTATGGGATTAAGGTCTGGAGACTGGCTAGGCCACTCCAGGACCTTCATGTGCTTCTTCTTGAGCCACTCCTTTGTTGCCTTGGCCGTGTGTTTTGGGTCATTGTCATCCTGGAATACCCATCCACGACCCATTTTCAATGCCCTGGCTGAGGGAAGGAGGTTCTAACCCAAGATTTGACGGTACATGGCCCCGTCCATCGTCCCTTTGATGCGGTGAAGTTGTCCTGTCCCCTTAGCAGAAAAACACCCCCAAAGCATAATGTTTCCACCTTCATGTTTGACGGTGGGGATGGTGTTCTTGGGGTCATAGGCAGCATTCCTCCTCCTCCAAACACGGCGAGTTCAGTTGATGCCAAAGAGCTCCATTTTGGTCTCATCTGACCACAACACTTTCACCCAGTTGTCCTCTGAATCATTCAGATGTTCATTGGCAAACTTCAGACGGGCATGTATATGTGCTTTCTTAAGCAGGGGGACCTTGCGGGCGCTGCAGGATTTCAGTCCTTCACGGCGTAGTGTGTTACCAATTGTTTTCTTGGTGACTATCGTCCCAGCTGCCTTGAGATCATTGACAAGATCATCCCATGTAGTTCTGGGCTGATTCCTCACCGTTCTCATGATCATTGCAACTCCACGAGGTGAGATCTTGCATGGAGCCCCAGGCCGAGGGAGATTGACAGTTATTTTGTGTTTCTTCCATTTGCGAATAATTGCACCAACTGTTGTCACCTTCTCACAAAGCTGCTTGGCAATGGTCTTGTAGCCCATTCCAGCCTTGTGTAGGTCTACAATCTTGTCCCTGACATCCTTGGAGAGCTTAGGAGCACTCCCTTTAAGAGTGTGCTCCTAATCTCAGCTCGTTACCTGTATAAAAGACACCTGGGAGCAAGAAATCTGATTGAGAGGGGGTCAACTACTTATTTCCCTCATTAAAATGCAAATAAATGTATAACATCTTTGACATGCGTTTTTCTGGATTTTTGTTGTTGTCATTCTGTCTCTCACTGTTCAAATAAGCCTACCATTAAAATTATAGACTGATCATTTCTTTGTCAGTGGGCAAACGTACAAAATCAGCAGGGGATCAAATACTTTTTTCCCTCACTGTATGTACTTAACACCGCAGGACGTCGGTTGTGACCACCTGGGAGCCCACGGGAGCGGGACAGAGGCGAATTAACAACTAGCTGCTGCAATATTATCTTCTGGAACTGCCGAAAATTCTCAGCTGGAAAGAAATGCGTGTGGATGAGGAGGAATAATTTATTGTAGTTGTGTTTCCCAGAAAAGCCTTGCTGACTCTCCAGACTTTTTTTTCCAAAAAGGCCCTCTCTGCTTGAGAATGTTTTCAAGTAGAATGTGTGTTGGAGTATTTTTTTGCAAGTGGAAGGAAAATGGAGCACGTGGAGAAAAATACACGCATGTTTGGGGGGATAACACTGATGCGCTCTGCAAAGTCTCGTGATCCACTTGGTATACTGCATCTTAAAGGCACCAAGAAGGCCTAAGATGGGGAATTTCATGGATGTACTCATTCTGAAAACAACATTTCTAGTCACTGTATAACAAGCTCAAGCCATGACATCAGGTGGGACACAATTTTACAGCTGCATCAAGTATTGTGCAAATACTGTGCAGATAAATACTTTAAAAAAATGTGATCCTGTTGGCAGTGGTGTACAAGCACAAATATATAGATAAAACGCATTTGTCAATATCACTGCTAAAAAGAGTAAAATGCGTATATATAAAATGGGTGATGTTTCAGGCGAAAGGCCTTCTTCATGGCAGGTCACAGAGATCGAGTAAATAGCATACTGGATACATTGCTCTTGCGTGGCCTGCAAAATACCGTGGAAGTTCTACCCACGAGGCCAGGCGGAACAATCGCTTCACCTCATCGTGCAACCCTTGACGTGCGATACTTTGGCTGTATCTCAGCGGGGCTGGGTGGGGGGGGGGGCGGGGGGAAAACTCGTGTCCGCGTTTCGCCCGGTAAGGGCGGAGGGGAGGATGGGAGCGTGGAGGGCGGGTGGAGAGAGGCATGCGGCGGGGAGGGAACACCAGGGAAAGGCCCGGCTTCAGGAAGGGCAGCGGGGCAAGAGTGCGGCACTGCAGCACAGAGCGGTGGCGTGGCCCGGTCGCCCATTAAACCGCGGTCGCGCACGAAAGCTCGCTGCGTCAACACGCCTCATTTCCTTCCTCGCGCGTTTGAAGTTCGTGTGACCTGCTTCTTTCAAAGATTTTTTTTTTTTATCACTTCAGGGGTTTTTACAGATGGACGAGAAAAGTGCCCTGCCCAGCACCGCGGAAAAGACCGAATCTGCTCAATTAGGTCACCGCTATCAAACTTATTCCAGTTCACACTCTTGCCGAAAATATTTTCGCTTCTCGTTTCACGAAAGCCGCTTGAATTTGTGCGAGCCTTCAAAGTTCTCGGAATTAAAAAAAAAACCTCGCTGGAAACGCATTGTTGACGAGTTACCTGCGGCCGACAGAACCACAACCGCTATTCTTATTCCTGCTCGGTTTCTCGCTAATACGCCGCCGCCACTGTGCCGGCCATGCTCACGCTGTGGTGTACGCCTTTCAGATAACATCTCTTACGACACAAACGGATGTGCCAGAAGTGCGCGCGTTTTTAGGCCTCACCCTCCCGTTCTGACGCATAGGCCTGGAGTAAAACTTTTTTTTTTTGTAATCAAGCTGTGCTGGGAACTTGGTAATGAAAGTCGACAGGAAGGCTCCTGGGTGGGACGGCGCGCATCCGACTCCAGCCTATCTCCCTAACCTCTGCTGGGAGAACCGGCACAGGAACAAGAGTGAGGGGGGGGGGGGGGCTTGGCAGATTAATAATCTCACGTCGTTAGCCAGGGTCCGCATGGCGCTGTAACTCGACCTATTCTTGGCAGCGGTTTTGCACGTTTTTTTGTTTAATTGGCCTATTAATAGGTGTGCCGCAACAGCGAAACCACGCATTCGTCGCGAGTCGAAGGGCGAATGTCACCTGTGATGGGGTGCCCCATCGTACCAAAGATAAGGCAGGCCTGCTTATCGTCCACGGCAAATGCAATGCTGGATGCTCTGCACGTGACGCGCTGAACTCACGGAACCCCGTGCTCCTCATTTCAATCGGCGGTGACATGCCAGAGGCCCCATTAACTCATTCGTCGCCGAGTTGACGCACTGCAAAGTTAACAAATGTGAAACGCGCCATTATTCTCCTGAGTGCAGCAACATCTCGTGAAATGTTCCAATAGACAACAACAACAAAAATGCTATCACCATTCATTAACGGCTTCCAAATCAATGGCACTGGACACGGTGAATGCGGAACAAAATACAAATTCATAGCCATAGAATTGCGTAGCTTACCTTTAATTTGCACATTCAATACTCCAATCTAATTCTACGACACATCTTCCTGTAACCCTGTAGTATCAAAATCGGAATCTTTATTTCGACTGGAGGAATCCGATGAGCTATGAAGCTCTATTTTACAGATGTGTAGTAGGGCCGGGTCAGCAAAACGATGGGAGTGCAAAATAGAGAAAAATTTAAGCAAGTCACTAAATATAAACAAATTAAACATAGCTTAATTACAAAAGTCCGCATTTTCAACACTAAATGCAAGCTTGGGCAAGGCAGCAAAAACAAGAACAAAAGCAGTCCCAGACCACACCAAGATAACATAGTCCCTCAATAAAATTACACTATAAACGATAGACTATTCTTACTTTACAGGTAAGGCCAACTGAGCCATATAGCTCTTTTTGAGAAGCGACCTGGTCACAAATGATAGCTCAACAAAGTGGCTTATCGTGTGGAAAATTATTGCAGCCGAATACTCGAAACACATGATTTTAAATGTTGAGAAAAAAAGACCCGAGGAGCTGGAGGTACATCCACACGACTATGGCGAGAAGACGCAAATGCCAAATATATAGACATCATGGTCGGAATTGAACCCACAACCTCCTGTATACCAGGTGAGGTATTTAACGTCTCGCCACCTTGGCGCCCCATTAAAATGTAACTATTGTTAAACAGGTAAGGATCAAAGTTACAAATCACATGAGCAAATGTGGCTGTATCCAGATCGAATCTTCTCTAGTAGCAGTTTATCGTACCAAACCAATAATCCTGAAGAAAAGCATCACCAAGTCTCTGCGTGGTTTTTATGGAGAGCCCCGTTTTCAAACGGTTGGTCAATTCTTTTTTTGTTTTGGTAATGTTAACACGTATCAGTGAGAGAAAGTGGTGGCTTGATTGGGAGGGGAGCGGTCCATCCAACAGTGGATGCACCATGGCCCATTACTTTTAAATTTAAATGTTTAAGGAATACCAAAACGCCGGGTGAAAACCCCACGTACGGTTGAGCAAAATATTCCAACTCTGCACAGGGATACCCCGTCGTCCAAAAGCCTCCATATGCCTGCCGCCGCCGCCGCACCATCAGCAGGCGATCTAAAGTGCACGACGCCTCCATTTCTGCAACGTCAACCAACGGCCACCTCCGAGCTGCTGCCTACAGGGCCGTGGCATCGCCACCAAATCCAGCGGCATGCAGATCCAACGGACAAAAATTACTGCGCTGTCACAGTAAATTGAACTAGCGCGCACAACACAGCTCATCCGTGGAGCGATGGCGATCAGACATCCGTTGAAAATGAGCTGCAGTTGCCTTCGTTCATTCCTTGTGAATTCAACTTGAAAAGACGTCTTCACTTACAACAGGGGGAAATTACAAGTCGCAATAGAATGGGAAGTATTAGAAAAATTTTAATCGTGTCCAAACAACACAAGGTGCGGTGGGAAAATGTGGCTGATCATGCGATACCCATTGTGTCATGTATTTGCCAGTTATATCTTTCTTGAAGGTTCAGAAGAGTTTCTGGAGAAGAAACAAGCATCTATTGAGATCCCGATGAGCCCAATTCACTTCATATAGGAAGCGAGAAGAGGGACTAATGCACATTACCGATTGCTTTCCCCATGATCCCAAAAATACATTGAAAATCAAGGACTCATCTTTTCTCAAGCTCAACTACTGTAAATCTGCTGTGCAAACAACACTACACGTGCACACACCTAATCTATCAGCACCTGAGTTGAAAATGTAATGGCAATTCACCACAAACCATGGATTTATTGCGATATTGTTAAATTATGTAACGCCAGCATTAACGGGACTGCAAACAATGGCTAGCATTACAATCCCTCCAAGGGACCAACCTGATAACGGGTTAACACTCTATCAGTAAAAATCGTCCATTGTCAATATTATGAAAGGTAACTTTGTAGATTCCAAGCCTCCACAGTATAAACTTCAGCACATAAACCGACAATGATAGAAAACGACAATGATGAGACTGCACAACCTATAGGAATAGGACAAGGGGAGAACGAGACGGTCTTGGGAGCGCAGAGATCACGTTAAGCGCGCGGCCGTGCGTGTCTGGAAGGGGGCCAGGCCGGGTGGGGGGGGCACGGTGCGATGGCGAGCGCTGGAAAATAAGGTGTGTGTGAAGCAGCTGCGCTCCTGTTCTCCCCCACCCCTGTGCCGTGTCCCCGTTCACTGCCACTCAAGCATGGGAAAGCGGTGGTGCTCACAAGGGGCCAAAGACAACACCCTGCTGGAGGAGGTCGGGTGGGGAGCAAGGGAGGGAGGGATGCGGGGACACTGGCTGAAATGGCAGCCTGCCAGATTCGCTAATGATTTTACGTCGTACTTGTAAACTGCGGTTGAGTGCAAGGCCGAGCTTGTGAGCCCTATAAAATTAGAAAGAAAAAAAAACTGCAGTAGTGGGAATTCGCGACGGCGTGTGAAGGGCGTGCAACAATGCTCTTTACGTAGACGTTTAACATTACCGATGACCTTCCCAGGTCAGAGTTCGCCTCTGCAGCTTTAATGTTTGAACACGTGCACATTCACTTGCATAACATCCTGGCTGCAAACCAACAAGGACATCGCCGGCATTCACTTACGTACGTATGCACGCGAGTGAGCGCAAAGGTGCTGCGTGCGCGTGCAAACACCGGCCTGTCGTCCCAGCTCTTGCCTTCTGCCCATCCGGGCGCATTACTAGATAATAGCGGGCAGTTAGAACCACTGGTCGTCTGGGAGGCATCGTTGTGATGCGCGGTGGAACGGCGGCGGGTGCTGCCCCTTATGCACGCGGTTCTGCACAGTTTTAAAAAAAAATATTTATTCCCCACCGGAATCTGTACAAGTCGCTTGTAGTCGGGGCAAACTGTCCTGCCAAACTTGACCGGGCGGGGGACGTAATTAAGTGGATAGTGGGAGTCACCTTTCATTGCTTTCCGTAGGAAGAGACCGGCGCTGGGACGGGGTAAAGCGGCGTGCAAACGAGCGGGAGCAGGGCGCGAGTCTCCCTGAGCGATTACAGCTGACAAAAGGGGCAACGGGGAGAAAATCTGCGCGCTCTTCGCAATTTTCCTTGCCGTAATTAGATTTCCCATTCGACAAATGTTTATGAAATTAAACCAAGAACACTCTAAAGAGAAAATTGCCATTCTGGCGGTATTCTATGAAAGCAATTTTAAAATAACGTTGTAAAATTTAAACGTTTCGTGCAATCGCTTTTATACAAAACTCTTGAGCGCAAGGTCCCAGCACATGGGCCGTGGTTTGTTTGAAATGATTATTGCGCACAAGGACACTACGTCTTGCCCACTTTGCAGAGCTGGTAAGAAAGCAATAGAATGCTGTGTGTACAATAAGATCACAATAAGTCCCATTACACAAACCATGGGCCACGAGGTATAAAGGGGGTTACAGTGTGTAAAACGTGTTTACATTTATAAATAAATTGGTCACACATTTAAGGAGTGTGCATTTAATCGTATCGTAATAAACTCTTCATGATGGAGTGCAAGCTTGTCTAAAGTTACACAGATAGAAAGGAGTGCGCCTCTGATTAGCATGGTTGGCTGGACGGTACGAAAGAAGTTTCAACATCCATACATAGTGTCTGCAAGCGGGGCGTTTGTCACCTACTCACCGTCCGCGGCACGGCCTTCCATCTCCTTCCACAGCAGGTGATCCATACTGCTCGCGACAAGGTCCACTTCCTCAAGCCGCTGTGCCACATCGTGGCGGCTCAACGCGGCCACCCCACCGTCGAGAAACTGTGCCTCGGTCAAGGGCAAACACACCGGTCGGATGCAGGCGAGTGCGCGCGCACACACACACGCATACACACACGGGAGTGGGTTCACGCGCCGAAGGTGTTTCGGGCCCTTGGTTTACTCGTGCGAGGCGCGATAACACGCAACGAGTGATGACAATGATAAACGGTCAGGTTCATAATTAGTTTCTTTGGGTTAGATTGCGGTAGGTGTGTTTTTTTGTTATAACCCTTAGCCGCCCGACACAGCCAATCAAATCAATTTGTCCCAAGGGCAAATGTGCCAATTGATTTGCGTTGATAAGTGAGCAAAATTGAAAACTTTGTATGTTATGACGCTTCGCTGGCGATTATTATACAATTATGGAATACGTAATTATGTCAAACTACGACCCATATCTTAAATAGCGGGACCTTGTCTATAATGTCTGGCAGGTCGCCTGCATTCATTCCATCAAGCCTGACTGCTGATGAATTTATGCACTCCCAGAAAGCCGTGGGGCTTATGGGTTGTGTAATAAATACTTTTATTTACGGGGAGAGAACTACAAAGGGGACGTAGTGTCTACCCAACTTTTTTTATAACATTAATGTAGTGCGAAAATTGTAATAATTTTAAGCCAATGAAAGCAATGAACAAAACGATAATCAGAATCCAAAATCAGGAAAACTTGCCAGTCAACACTGACGGTGAGTGATGATGTCATCGATCCACACTCACAAATTGTATGCTCATATTTTACTTTACTTTGATCAAAAAAATAATCAGTATATTAATCCCATATTTCAACAGATAATTGCAGTCATACGATAAAAAAAAATATTGCTTACAGGTAAATGGAATATTGCTACAAGCCTTAAAAAATCAACCAATGCACTGCAAGTTGAATACGGGCACACGTGCATTGAAGGTCAATTTTAAAATGAAATAAATAAACACTCTTAACACTCACCGATCCATCGCAACCAGAGCAATCTTTCCCTTATGGTGTTGGAATTGGTTTCCCATGGACACTAATCCACAGCACAAATCAGCCTTACTCACTAAGTGGAACAGCTCTCTCGAATGGCATGTGGGTTGGAGTTCAAGGGGAATTTGGTGTCAAGCACAAGAATAATTCCTTACCAACTCAACTCGAGCCTCTGCACCCTACGAGGACTAGATCAACTCAAACTCGAATGGCAATCTAGGATTCTAAACAATGGTCATGCAGAGAGCCCTTTGTTAAAATCCACTGCCGAATGAGGGCATCCCCGTTCCTGAGCGAGTTATGACGGTTGTTTGACCATGCTTTAGCAAGCTGGAACAGTGAGGTTTGGTATGTACGTATGTATGCTGAACTTCTTTCACACCGTACGCAGCCAACTGTGCCAATCGGAGGTGCGGCGGAAGGACAACTAATCACGAAAAATCAATTAGAAAGAAATGAGCTTTCAATCTAGACTTAAAAGTTGATAACCCCAGTAGCTTTCTAATATCGGAGGGAAGAGCGTTCCAGACGGCCGCATACGCATATTTGAAAGCGCGCGATGCGGTGACCGCCTTTGTTCGACGGCTAAGCCAAAAGCCACCGCTCCGAGGATGACTGGAGTTCGCGTGATGGTTTGTGCCCCTTGACGAGATCAACGAGGTACACGTTGTCTTTGCGGATGCTGTACGCACGTGTGCAATGCCTCGCTGTTGGACGTGCGCAACGCATTGGTGGCAGAGGCACAGAAGTGCACAGGACAATAGTTTTTGCTCTGCATTGCCCTTTACCGCTCACCAAGGTAGTCTCACAATCCCCATGTTGGTGAACGGTGGCCAACCATGCCAGCACTCCACGCAGGGTTAACCGGCGCAGTTTCTCAGGCCTGGCACACTGTGGGCAATTTGGTCTTCGGCAACTGCAAATACATGCGTTGTTGTACGTCATCCGAATATGCCACGGTGGCTAGGAGATGTTAACTACCTCGCCTGGTATACAGGAGCCTGTATATTTGGAGTTTGCATATTCTCCCCGTGGTCGTGTGGATTTTTCTCGGAGTCCTCCGGTTTTTCCCTCCACATTTATAAACATGCATTTCGAGTATTTGGCTGCTATAAATCCACACATGATAAGCCACTTTGGTGAGCCATCATTTGTGGCCAGGTTGCTTCTGAAAAAAAGAGCTATATAGCTCAATGGGACTCACTTGGTAAAAGAAATAACTTTATAATAGTTTTTTTTATGCGATGGAAAAAATTACGAGCGGTCGCGTTTTCTCCCATCGATTCTTCAGGGCACTGACAGCAGATCAAGGCATTCCTTTAGCAAGAAAAAGTGAGGCCGGATCGATCCAGCAGAGGGCACCTTCTGACAGGAACGTTGCTCTTTCTCTCACGGAAAAAGACGCAGTTTCCCAAACCTTGACAATCACTTTGACGCATATTCCCAGGGGTGTGTCACGGAAGGTGAGAACGAAAAATAAACCAAATGGGCAGCTGTGTTAATTTTGGCCTTGGGTAAAAGAAAGCATTGTCGGCTAAAGCTTATTTGTCCTCCTCGGCGATGCGAGTGGATTTGCATCGGATGCGCTCCCGTGTTTGCTCCCTGTTCCAGGACGTGGAAGCAGGCAGGACAAATCACTAACATTTATTTGTCCTGGGGAGACCTTGCGTGAAACATCTCTTCCTTGCCGCTTGCCAGGTTCCACACCCAGTCCAAAAGCGTGCGCTTGCAACGGGGGGGGGGGGGGGGGGGGGGGCAAACTTCCTTTCTCCAAAACAGCGGCCAGGCAGGCCCGGCTGCGCTCAACTTGTCAACGCAGCGTCTTGTGCAACGAGGGCTCCGTTAAAAGATCCACATGATAAGCCACATGGTTGAGCTATCATTTGTGCCCAGGTCGTTTCAGCAAAAAGAGCTATATAGCTCAGTGGGCCTTACCTAGTAAAAATAAGAAATTGTTTAGTTAAAAAAGTTTTATTAAGCGGACCCTAAAACACTAAAGAGCAACCACGGTCCCTTCGTGTTACTTAACTCGGAGTACAATGTCCCAGTATTGTCAAACTAAAGCCATGCACATAAAACGTATACAGAACTCACTCAATGCTGCAGAATCACCACTACTAGACATCTGTGAAAAAAGAGTTTCATAGCTCATCAGATTCCTCCAGTCTAACTAAAGGTTCTGTTTCTGATGGGACTGAACTCCACTCCCACACTGCCACTGCACGGTGCAGTGGAAACTGCGCCAACCATCAGTAAGAGAGACGCAAAAACCAATGCGTGACCCTATCCAGACGGTGCTTCACACGGACCTCCTTGTTCCAGCCCGGAGTCCTTTGGCTCTGTGTGCTTGCCAGCATCGCACCACTTCTTAAGGATACAGTAGACCGCAACTTCAGGGCGTACGCCTCTTCCTCTGGCGTGCAGCTGCCCTGCAGTAGGCCCACTTTCTGCCAGAGGCTGGGAACAACACAAACACAAAACAGAGATTTCTTTAAGTCCTGCAGATCGCACTCACAAGAGGCCTCGCAGTGGCAGCTACGAGTGCTGGCCGTTCGACCGGCAAAAATAATCAGCCATGATGCGCTTGGGAAATTTCATGGCAATCGCCTCTGGCAATGCATTTACTGTGAACAATTATGGCGACTTGGCACGTCAATGGCGTAGAGTGACGGAGTTGTGTCTAGCCAATGATCTGATTTGGACGTTTCCATGCCCAGTTGCAGCTATTAAATTTGGTCAGATATTCAGCCACTATTTTTTTTTCAACAGAAAAAGGTGCAGTAAAATATTGTCGACAACTGCTGGAAAGAATTGCCCTAAAATGACTCTCGTGTATCGTGGCTTTCAGGCATTACATCTTTAGTGAGCAACAGTTGATACAAATAGGCATGGTGCTTTTGGCAACTCTACAATATTGATAGAGTAACTGGGATCCAATGTACCTGTGTTATTCATTGTTTACATTATAATTTCTCAGCAAGTGTCTGCATTTCCCATAAAAATAAAACACAGGATGTTTAATATGTATTTTTTTTTTTAAACATACCTGTTCATCCTAGCAATAAAGATGAAAACTGAATGAAATTATACGACTGTAGATTAACCTAGTTATGACTGTAATTGCATGGTTTTAAAGTTTTAACGGAGGATAAATAATTTCTGTGCAGGGTCCTTGGTTTGGTGAAAGGTGCCTTGAAACCAATCCAGTTTGATAGAGTAAATAAAACGCTCTATATTTAGGTGAAGTAATATCTGCTTGATTCCACCCACAAGGGTGTGATGAATTACTTTTGAGTTGATATCATTCATGCATTTGAAGCTTCACACGCAGCGCACATAAACATAATTACAATTTTTGTGCAACGCTCTTTCCCAAAAAAACTCCTCAAAATCGGTGTTGCACCACAGCCAGCAAGCACATTGCCAAAACAATCACCGTTATGGAGAGCATTGGCATGCACAGACCAAACCGTGCCCTTGCATCACCACCAGAGAGCACCGCTCCCCACCTGCCTTGTCACCAACAAAATTGATTACACTGTGGATTTAGATCAATAGCCACAGATGCTATTTTATAAATCAAAATACCATTTAGGATTTGTTATATTACGTCTGGACGGCACAAATGGATAAAAATGGCAGTTTGCACAGATGCTTCCTCAAAATCAATAGTTTTAGGGGGTGGAGCTGCCAACGTGGGCTCGGTACGGTCACCACGCACACTGTGAGCTGAGTAGGGTCACCACGCACACTGTGGGCTCGGTACAATCATCATGCACACCTGGGCTCGGTAGGATCATCATGCACACTGTGGGCTCGGGTACGGTCAACACACACACTGTGGGCTCGGTAGGGTCACCACGCACACCGTGGGCTCGGGTACGGTCAACACGCACACTGTGGGCTCGGTAGGGTCATCATGCACACTGTGGGTTCGGTACAGTCATCACGTACACTGTGGGCTCGGTACGGTCATAATGCAAACTGTGGGCTCGGTATGGTCATCATGCACACTGTGAGCATGGATTCACTCACACAGCAAAGTTGGCCAATTAATTCACAAAATCTCACGTTCTAGCGAATCTGGGAAATGAGACGCAAAAAATGAGTGTGCCCACCACGTTCCACATCATGTGCCGTGCGGTGCGAAAGAGGTTCAACATAGTGGCATGGATACACAAGATGATATCATTACTCTTCATTACTATTTAAACTATTTAAACTAAATCTTATTTTACCAGGTAAGGCCCACTGGAGCAATATATCTCCATTTCCGAAGCAACTTGGCCACAAATGATAGCTCAACGAAGTGGCTTATCATGTGGACATTTATAGCGGCCAAATACTCTAAACGCGTGATGTTGATTCTAAATGTGGAGGGAAAAACTGGAGGAGCCGGACAAAAATCCACGTGACCTCAGGGAGAACATGCAAACTGAGAATATACGGGCGTCAGGGTCGGGATCGAACTCACGATGTCCCGCATACCAGGCTAGGTAGTTAACATCTCGCCACCGTGGTGCCCTTTATGAACTTCCAGTCCCAATCACCTTCATCACTTGAGCAGTATTTCTGCACGACAATTAAGTGCACTTTACAAAATCCTGTCATCACACAAAGTGGAAAGGTGCAATCTTTCCTCAATTAATTACTCCAATGCCAGTTTTGCCAGTTTTGTATTATATATATAAAAAAAATACATTTCATTCTGGGACAAAATGCACGTGGAATACATTAATCACTGGCCAATGAAAGAGATTTGAGAAACACATGGCAGAAAGCTCTTACCGGTGGTTTTTTGCCTGCTGTCTCTTCCACTTTTCAGGAAATTCCAGGTTTGAGCTGCCACAATAAAAACACAGAGTTCATTTCCAGGACACTTTGCGCATAAGCAGCATAATCACCGTAAAAAAATATGTGTTGCTGATGATTGTGCATTATAAACACCCTGACCTTGATCCAACCAGAGTTAACTACTGCACAAGCTTCTTCATATGAATCCAAACTTCGACAGATACATTTCTCAGGCACGCTTAAAAATTTGTTTTAATAACCGCAATGCCACTAACACACAGAATGTCAAGCGTGGCGGTGTACTGCCGGCTCAAATAAAAAATTCAACGAAAAGGACCGATTCACGGAATGATATTTGTAAATAGGGCGAACGACACAAAAAAATGATCGATTCGAGTCAATACTATGACCCTGAATCACGACAATTAATTAAATCGCGAGCGTATGAAACCACGTCATTACACAGCAACAACTCCCATCTCGCTCTGGCGCAGTACCACAGAGCAAAGTGCGTTGCGTGACCCGCTAGCGCGAGAGGAGAACGTTTCGCCAAACGAAAACCGCACGGCCGGCTCGCGGTGGGGGGGGGGGGGGGGGAGCAACGCATGTTTACGTTGAAACGATTACACTGTTGGGGGTAAGACGTCGCCGCCAGTCAAATAATCCCGACATCAAATCAGTTCCCACGTTCCAGTTGGGCAGACGATGGCCGCAAGCTGGTTCGCGCGAGACTACCCTTTGTGTCGCGCAGTGAACTCATCCGCCTCCCGCGAGCACGCTGGTGGGCCGTCCAGCACGGCCGCCGATCCGGCCCCGGTGGGCTCATCCTCCGGGAAGGCCGCACCCATCTGAGCATTACAAACAAGCGCGCCTTTAACGTCACCGCCGCCTACAAGGCGCACGATTGTTATCCTCTCCCCCAAACAGTTCGCCTCACATTGTTAAGTCGCTCGCCGTCGCCCGCGGGTACGGCCGCTGAAACTGTAGCTCCAAAGAAAAATGTTCCACGTTGAGATAAAAAAGAAAATGCTGCTGCTGCTGCTGCGTCATGCTGACTTGTCTTTGATAGTTAAGTGCCTTTGAATGAGTACATGTGCAAACAACACGAAAAAATATGCCTGCGAACGTGTTTTATGTTAGAACACAGGCGGCTTTCTGTTTGCGGAAAATAACGGAACTCAGGGTCACTCCATGTCAACGCTATCCCACTTCATTGCCCGGGAATGGGGTCAGATTAATAACCTCCAGTGCACGCGAGGGTCGTGGGGAGGAATCATCAAACAAATGCTAGAACGGTGTACAAACCGGAACAAACCGTTACATTTACACAAAAGTAACATATTAATAGTGGTGTTTGTTGTTATTTAGCTGATGTAAAAAATATGAAATTAAGGGGTGTAGCGTTAAAGCGGTGGTGCAGTTGTTAGTGCAAATCGTTTGAACGCGATCACCTGTGTTTGATTCCTGGCCATGGCTAACATCGGTGAAGAATGATGTATTCGGGAACATTTTTATACCGTGGATACGAATTGGATATAACGCGATTGAGTAAACAGAACTATGTCACGCGAGTAGGAATAAGCAGTTGTACGGCTGCCTCGGCATAGCATCACACAAGGCATTGGAATACTGCTGGATGCTTCTAGATGCTACCCAGACGCCTCATTCTTTATTCAGCCTGCATACGAATCTCACGTGTTATCGCGGACTGTGCTTTACCCTATTTTAGATATTATTCATCATAACGCAATTGTCCCATAACGCGGTGTTCTGTAGGAATGCATTTGCCACGTTATAGAACAGACTGTACTCTGCAATGTTAATTTTCGAAGAAACTAAATATTTTAGCTTTTTCCAGTTAAATATGATATATACCGTAATAGTATTTTTGTAAAATCAATACTCTCCACTCCACTCTCACCTACATACATACACTGCCTTTCTTACATGCACACTACAGCCTACAGTGGTTTACTATATGATCCATAATACTCTCCACTCCACTCTCACCTACATACATACACTGCCTTTCTTACATGCACACTACAGCCTACAGTGGTGTACTATATGATCCATAAAACTCTCCACTCCACTCTCACCTACATACATACACTGCCTTTCTTACATGCACACTACAGCCTACAGTGGTTTACTATATGATCCATAATACTCTCCACTCCACTCTCACCTACATACATACACTGCCTTTCTTACATGCACACTACAGCCTACAGTGGTGTACTATATGATCCATAAAACTCTCCACTCCACTCTCACCTACATACATACACTGCCTTTCTTACATGCACACTACAGCCTACAGTGGTTTACTATATGATCCATAATACTCTCCACTCCACTCTCACCTACATACATACACTGCCTTTCTTACATGCACACTACAGCCTACAGTGGTGTACTATATAATCCATAAAACTCTCCACTCCACTCTCACCTACATACATACACTGCCTTTCTTACATGCACACTACAGCATACAGTGGTTTACTATATGATCCATAATACTCTCCACTCCACTCTCACCTACATACATACACTGCCTTTCTTACATGCACACTACAGCCTACAGTGGTTTACTATATGATCCATAAGTTTGGCTTGCATGGCCACAATGCACCTCAAATTATGGACCATATAGTAAACCACTGTCATCCTTAAATAGAGGAATGGCAATACAGTAGGTCACCGATTATCCGGCAGCTTCGGGGGGGGACAGGGCGCTGGATTAAAAAAAAACGCCGGATAATCACACATTAAAAAAATATTATTTTTGCACATTCTTGTATATTGTTTTTTAGTTGTCATATTTTTGGTTTTAAGTTCGTTTTCTATGTGAAATTGGCATAAAGAAACATACAAATAGACAATAATAACTTAACCTACTTAAAAAAGTTAATGTATTTATTCTACAGGACTTACAACTCCAATCTCGAAGACTCTGCATGGGGTGATGTATTTACATTCAGTATTTTCATTGTTTAAGTTGTGTGTAATGTATAAAATACTCTATTTCATATATTTAACACAAATCAAGCACAGCTACTTTTTTTCGTCACACACACACAGTGCCTATCCCCGTACTGGTACAGTCTTTGGAGCGGTTTTGCCGGTTTCTCCGGATCGGCTTGCAACCGTCGGATTATTTTGGAAGCCGGATAATCGATGATCAACTGTATGACAAAACACATTCTCCTGCAGAGGGGGCTGGTAGGAACGTTGGTTGCTCGGTCAGTGGCCAGGGTCAACGGCGGCACCACGTGGTGTATTCCGCAAATATGCCCGACTGTGAGGGCGGGCACAAGCCGGCGTGAGTAGGTTAAACGTTGAGTTTTATAAGGGCACCACGGGGTGACCAGCCCCTCCCCACCCAGCCCCACCCCACCCCGCCCCACTCCAACCCACCCCACCCAGCCCCACCCCACCCAGCCCCTCCCCACCCATTGCTGCCATCATTTGCAAGAATAGAACAGCCTTCATAAGCGGCACAGGTGTCATCAAAAATATACGCAATGTGACACTAGCCTGGAGAAAAGTGCCTACACAAATATAACAGGTCCCTGCAGGGTGGGCTGGTAGGAACATTGGAATTTTGCGCAATTTTATTACACCCAACAGCACGAGATTTCACTTCGTTAAAGCATTGAAAGGGGACGGACGGACGGACACGTTAATCTATTGCAGGCTGGTACACTCAGTTTACAACTTCGTTCCTACCAGTATAACCGCCATATGCCACTAAGTGGCGGTGACGTCACCACGGCGCTTGTGCCAGGCTATGTGCACGTTGAGGCCACGTGAAGTGTCGAACGCCTGCTAGCAGGAGGTCATGGGGCAGACCCAGGTGCCAGGGGTCGACTGACTGAGATGAGTGGCCGATGCTCCACCTGTGCCCCCTACTGTGCCAACTTGCTATGCTTTAGCCACCCGGCGCTCTGCTCATTGTTGTGAGCGTCGCTCCTCCGCCCTCCGTTGTTGTTGGAGGGAAACTGCCTCCAACTGCCCAGTAGCAGCAGCAACGTCCTTCACGAGCCTCCTCCACAAAGGCCGATCTTGACACCGCTGGTACCAGTCATTGGCAAGTCCACTCAGCACCACATCCTCTATCCAGCTGAACAAAAGCTGTTTAGGCATGCGGTGGCTGGGCATGCAGGCTACATTACCTAGCCAACGCAGCCTTGCCTGCCAGAGGAGTTCGCCGATGGGACTTTGTCCAGATCTTTCAAGGATTTGTGAGCTCCTCACGCAATTCAGCCTGGTTAAACCCAGGATGGATCGTAGGCAGGCCAGCCTAAATGTTCTAACCGGCGAAGATGTTCCATTAGGGGGGTCCACGTTTCGCAAGCGTAGAGAAGGGAGGGCATGACTGTGGCCAAGAAGACCTGAAGCTTCGTGTGGAGCAACATACCAGGTAAGCTTCCACACAGTGTTACGCAACCGATGAAAAGATATAGTCGCTCGACTGATTCGGAGACCTCTGCTGTCAAACCGGAGCCGTTCATGAGCACACTGCCCAGATTTTTGGAAGCTCTCTACTCTCTCCACAACTGCCCCAATCACCAATTGGGAGTTGTGGGGGTGGAGTGTCCGATGGTAGAAAATACCCAGGAAGGTGCTTAGTTTTGGTGGGGCTGATGGAAAGGCCCCACAAATATATATAGACACACACACACACAGCTCCACCGGGAGAAAGCATCAAGTAAAAGCCCAGATTAAGACACACCGCTTACCCCTGCGGTGTGAGCTGTAGAAGCGCGCAGGCCCTTCGCGTTTGAGACATGTGATGCCCCTGCTGTCACTGCTGTCGCTGCTGTCGCTGCAGATTTCCGACCGCCCGGTGCGCTGGATCGCTTGCCCTGCTTGTCAACTGCAGCCACCTTTGGAACCCTACTGTCCACCGCAGGTGCTCGCGAAGCACTGGACGTCCTGGCTCGGGCAGCTTGCGTAGACGGAGGCCGCTCGGCACCGCAGGAGTCCACCCGCCTGCGGGAGAGAGACGAGGCTCTGGGCGCAGCCTTTGTGGCAGAGGTCGCCCTCGTGCTAGCGGCGGCCGTGGTTGGAGGGCCTCTCGCTCGGCTTTTCTCTTTCACAGCTTGATGTTTCCTGGGTGGTGCAGGGCCCCGTTTGTCCTGCACGTAAAAGCCGTCGACTTGTGGGGCTTGGTCGTTTGTGCCGACGCTGCCAGCACTGTCCAGCTCCTTGAGGAAGTTTCTGCCAGACTCTCGGACCTTCAGGGCCTTTGCCAAAGCTTTGTTGAGCAGCTCCAAATCCTCCATCTCTTGAGCACTAGGTTTGGCTGGGTTGACATCCGGGTGACATCGGGAAAACAAGTTTATTTCATAGCAAACTGCATTGAAAGGATAAGGTGACCGTCAAATAGGCCGAATTTCCCCACAGATGACCATAAACAAACAAATGCCATAATACAGCGGTTCTTAACCTGGAGTGCACGCGCCCCCTAGGGGTGCGAGATGCCCTTTGTGGGGTGCAAGACAAGCAAATTTTGTTTAGAAGGTAAATCATGGAAACGCAAATTAAGCATGGGCACGTAAGTACAACTACTTTTGATTTAAAGCTTTCGTGACTGCAGTAATTCATATTCTTAGTTTTTTCGGTAAAGTCACGTTGAAGAGAAACAACAAAATAACAAAATATATATAAACGTGACTTTACCGAAAAAACTAAGAATACAACTACTTTGTTTCATCAAACCTATCTATTTATTAACATTGAAATTGTTTTAACGATGGAGAACCAAAGGGGTGCAAGGCCGCAGTCAAGGTTAAGAACCACTGCCATAACATAATTATAGTCCTCTATGTTGCTCCTATTCACATTGTTTCACTATAACGTCGTGAATGAATTAGGGAATGTAAAAATGCATTGATTCGCTACAACAGTACAGGCAGTCCCCGGGTTACGGAAGGGGTTAGGTTCCCGAGAAATATCCGTAACCCGAATTTTCCGTACGTCAGAAACTGAACAATCTCCCCCCAAAATCAACGATAAAATAATCCCATAGCCAGAAATAGTTGTGCCTCCCCTACCGTTTTCTCTCCGTACTGTGTCACGCTATCATCCGTATTCCATTGCTACCTGTATCGTATTGCTGTACATACGCTCTGCACTTCCTATGATTCTTTCATTTGATCGAATATCTAACCTAAACACACTACCCATAATTAAACTAATGGAACATATACTGTACTGTGTTCAATTGTTTATGAACACCAACAAGTATAGAAAACAAACAATTACGTCATTCTACAAAAGGAAAAGAGACGATGTGGCGGGTAGAGTCTGCTCAGGGTAACAATGTAACAGCGTGGCTCTGTCCTATACAGGACACCACCACCATGGGGAATATGCGGCCCCGCCTTACGCCTCGCTCCGCTGCATTCATCCGCAACTTCACGGCGCTGCACTATTTGCGCTCAAGTAACGAATGCAAACAGTTACACATACAGTATGGAAATGCTTTGTTACATGATTTACGGGAGCACTTCCTTAAAGTCGGAGTTCCGTAAGTCGGGTCTTCCGTAACCCAGGGACTGCCTGTATTACTTCATTATTCGCAATGAGGGACACGTTACGGAGATGCTCGTGATGAGCAAATTTTGCGGATGATATTGCAAAAAACTACGACGTTACGATCGCAACAAAAGCGGTCTTCATCCCTTTTCCTGATGACGACCGCTTGTGCTGCGATCGAAACGTCGCAGTTTTTTTTGTTATTTTCTTTGAATCTATCTACGTGACTTTACCGAAAGACCCAAATAATATGAATTCCTGCAGTCACGAAAGCTTTAAGTCGAGATAAAGCTGTGTCAGTGCTGTTTTGGTACATCTTGTGTCGTGAATTGGGCATGAGCGTGGTAATTACGCAAGAAGTTGCGTGATGCTGTCTTCTTGCTAAATACAAATAAATCCTTGTCCGAGACCTAAATGTGTTTTAAAGGAGCATATCGATGAGTGACCAACAACTGTATTGCTGTCGGTCAACATACTGATTTGACAAACTAATTTTAAAAAGGTGACAGCCATACAATACCACTAAGTCCTCTATTTACTATGTCGTAGTTTTTTGGTTATTTTCTTTGAACCTATTTACGTGACTTTACCGAAAGACCCAAAGCATATAGCTTAATCTGTTCAAATTTTCTCGCGTTTCACTGAAAAATCGTCGCTTGAGAAATTTGATGGCTAAATGTGCAGCTCTCAGATCAGCACAACAGGTAAACAGCACCCTGCTTCCACTGGTAGCGAATTGTTTCCTAGAGTGCCATAGTAGTGAGATGTGAACTACCTCGCCTGCAATACAGGTCGTGGGTTTGATCTTGACCCTGACGCCTGTATATTTGGAGTTCACGTGGTCTCTCTCCCAATGGTTTGCGTAGATTATTCTCCGTGTCCTCCGGTTTTTCCCCTCCCCATTTAAACAACACGCATTCAGAGTATCCGGCTGCTATCAATTTCCACGTGATAAGCCACTTCGTAGAGCTTTCATTTGTGGCCAGGTCACTTCTGAAAAAGAGCCACATAGTTCAGTGGGCCTTACCTGGTAAAATACAAATTGTTTAGTTTGATGGTAAATAAAATAGAAAAAATTTGTTTTGTTTAGTATGGCAGCAGCAACTGGGTGTTTTATGCTATTTCGACATAAGTGTCTGCATATTACCAAGACTACCCACTCAGGTTGAGAGTGACAGCCACGGCTTGACAGGTAGTCGAGGACAAAACCAACAAGGTATTTTGGCGCCCTCTGATGGACGTTACCACCGCGTTCCTATTTCAAATTAATTGATGGTGATAATTGTTGGCAGTGGTGGCAAAAAGCAAAAATAACAAACAAAAAACCCCAACACATTCGTTAAGAATGCTGCGGCTTTAAAAGAAAAAACGTGTCACGTGCAACATTCTGGGTAATGTCCCTTCTTCACAACAATTCTTTTTTTGATCAGTGGTAACATTTTTTGGAACACCACTTATTCTACGCATAGGCAGATTGGTTGAGGGACTAACTACAGCTATACCTCGGTTAACAAAGTAAATGCGTTCCATGATGTCACTTCGTTATCAGAAACGTCGTTACCAGAGGTGGATATTGCATGGGAGGCATGGGGAAGCGTTCCAGGACTTCAGTGAAGGGGGGGCGCTACAATATCAAAACATTGCTGCACAGTCGCCTTCACTTTGTCTGCTTGGTTTAAAATGGTCTGCAGGGTGGACTGTGCCAACCCAAACGGAAGCGTCACTTCACTCTCCACCTCTCCCGCCCCTACCCTCCTTACGCTCGGCATTTTCCGTTTCCAGGGAAATGGATTTACATTGCACGCTTTTCCCAGTAAGAGCCACCGGCACTCAGCGGTTGCTTGGATGACTTAATGGGGGTAATAAGATCACAACTATCACTGCAACAAAACGAAAAAACGCGATACTAAATGTTACCAATGCAAGGGGCTCAAGCAATGGCAGGCTGGAAAGGGAGACTTTGGAAGCTCTTCCTTCATTGATTGACTGCTGATAATGTACGGTAAACAAACTCCCTTCTACGTGACTTTACCGAAAGAACCAAGAATATAAACTCCACTCGGTCGTGTTTACAGAGCACACGCATGGGTGCTGCGGTAAACATTTTACTCTGTTGAATCACTTTGCATGATACATCTTTTTTCCATAAAATAGGGGGGCCAAGGGGCCCTCCATGGCTGGCATCTTTACGTTCCCAGATTCGTTCACTGAGGTATTACTGTTTTGCACGACGTGAATCAAATATATTCTCTTTTTATATAAGTAGTTTCGTCCTCACTTACAACCCCCTCGACAAAAATGCAACTCAAGAGAACTCATTGACCGCATTTTTAGAAATCCTGCCTGCTGGATTGAAAAGGTAAAATTGTTCAATTTGAAGTGGATGTAAAAAAACTGCATTTTACCTGCTTCTTGCACGTCTCCTCCCGCAGAGATGCGTGTAGGTTCACATTCCTCAGTCACATTTACCCTACAATTAAAGAATACACGAGAACACCATTAATAGCTCTATTTAAAGCAATTAGTCTTCTCTAAACAGGAAGTGGTAGTGACATTCAGTGGTTATGGTTGCATAAGAGCACAGCTATTGTAAAAACCTCGTTTTAATTCAGCACTTGCACTACGCATGCATTTTGAACTTCTTTCGCATGGTAGGTAGCCAAGAATGGCAATCGTAAACATATCAGTATTCACAAATTTACATCGACAACTTTCCTTTTGGACACATTCTCATTCAATTCCACACTTAGATGAGCAATAATCTCCCCCATAAAATGGCCAGTGTTATGTTGGTAGCTTGCAAACACAAGTGAAAAATCAAACTGTTGTACTCGGGAGATTATACGCGATCGCAGGACGAATACTGTGTGCACCTGGTGTGCATGTTGAACCTCTTTCACAGCCAACTGTGCTAATAGGAGGTGCCGATTACCCAATGAGTGTCCCCTTGGCCAGACCAGAGCTTCGCAAACTGGTGTGCCACGGCATGTCCCTGGTGTGCCGTGCTATTTTCAGAATTACGGCAAAGAATCTCACTGTTCGTAAGCTCGGTCAGACGAATCCCTCCATGCTGTTCAGTGGCCAGTCCAGCCCCCACCTCCCGCCCTCCCCTCTCCATTGGCCACGGCGCCGCACGGCAGGCAGCCGTCGGCCCTCATCCCCGGCCACCTACCCGGGCGAGTGCCGTGAAGTGAAACAGGTTGAGAAGCACCGGGGTGGACTACCTCTGAGAGCAATGGAAGAATTTTGATTTAAAGCTTTCGTGACTGCAGTAATTCATATTCTTAGCTCTTTCGGTAAAGTCACGTTGAAGGGAAATAATAAAATAATAAAAATATATAAAACAATTAAAATTCTCACGACGTTTCGACCATAACACAAACGGTCGTCATCAGGTGTGAAAAAACCAACCTGATGACGACCGTTTGTGTTATGGTTGAAACGTCGTGAGAACTTTAATTGTTTTATATATTTTATTGTTTCCCTTCAATGTGACTTTACCGAAAGAGCTGAGAATATAGCAATGGAAGAGTCGACACGAGATGTGATGTGTAATGGAGCTTTTGCAATGCTGGTGGCATGTTTGTGCCGTAGACATGCAAACTCAATAAACGAAACTGTAAAGAGTACCACTTTACGTCCGGTTATCGGGGCAAGCGTGACGTATTTTGGTGAAGTATGGTGTGTGTGCGATTCTCTTCTTCATACATGAGCCCTGGTGTGTTCTCACCGTGGCTGCAGGATCTGCCTGTAAGCCACTATCTCTTGCTCCAGCTGCGTTTGCTCCCGGAGGCAGTCCTCCATGGCTTGCAGCAAGAGATCAACCACCCTAATGTCAAACAACCACCACAACAACCACCCTCATGTGAAACTACAACAACAACAACCACCCTCATGTGAAACAACCACCACAACAACCACCCTCATGTGAAACAACCACCACAACAACCACCCTCATGTGAAACAACAACCACAACCACCACCCTCATGTGAAACAACAACCACCACAACAACCACCTTCATGTGAAACAACCACAAGTCACCCTCATGTGAAACAACCACCACAACAACCACCTTCATGTGAAACAACAACCACAACAACCACCCTCATGTGAAACAACAACAACCACCCTCATGTGAAACAACAACAACCACCCTCATGTGAAACAACAACCACCCTCATGTGAAACAACAACAACCACCCTCATGTGAAACAACCACCACAACAACAACCTTCATGTGAAACAACAACAACCACCCTCATGTGAAACAACAACCACCACAACCACCCTCATGTGAAACAACCACCACAACAACCACCTTCATGTGAAACAACAACAACAACCACCCTCATGTGAAACAACCACAACAACAGCCACAACAACAGCCACACACATTCAGCAGCATATCACGAGATTCTAATGGCAATGGACCCACCTGCAGCTCATTAGGCCCGAGGTCACGGCCGAAGTCTCAGCAAACGTCGAGTCACTGTCAGTGGTGGTGAGCGAACTGCCCCCCACCACCCACCCACCCACCACCACCCACCACCACCACCCACCACCACCACCCACCACCACCACCTGAGTTCGATTCCCGGTCACGGCTAACATCAGTGGCTGCTCAGTGATCACTCTCCCACTAACAACCGTGGTCAAACAACCCCCGTGATTAACACACGGTGCTGTCGGGAGAGGGGTTATCCAGCAGTGGAGTGTTGGCTGTAGCTTGCTGGCCCGCCCACACCGGACATGTGTGAAGTAAAGCGCTTCGTAGCTCATCGGATTCCTCCAGGCTACAGTGAACAGCGATGCGTGTGTCCATGGCGGGGTGGGGTGGGCCTCTCAAACGCCTTGGCAACGGGCAACCCCCTCGCTTGACGATCTGTGACGAGCTTCTAACGCGTGTGGCCTCTCTCTCTCTCTGTTTACCTTTCAGACGGTAGCTGCATGTCCACCCAGCAGCAGCAGCACCTCCTCACCCTCACCAGACGACGAGAAGGAGGAGGAGGAAGAGGACGAGGAGGAGGCCTCAGGCGCCACGCCACTCAGGACGACCCACAAAGCAACCCCCCCTAAAAAAAACAACGTTCAAGCTTCTTTATTGTTCACTTATAAACGTTTTAATTTTACCCAAAAATCGACGTCACACAAAGGTGCCGACGTTAATATTTTGCTGTGCTTGTATATAATAATAATACAAAAAATCCCCGCCAATAACAGTTTATAAAAATGTTAACAAAGTTATCGCTTGCGCGCTCTCCACCCCGCCCACGTGGGCTCGCGTGTAGGTTTCTTAGGCTCCCTTGTGAGCGGTGGCGCAGCGGTTAGCGCAGCGCTGCCGTCCCGGGTTCGATCCCCGCTCGCGGCCAACAAACACCGCTGACGATTATCTGAGCCGGAACCCGGGCCTCCCCTGGGTCGACTCGGCATCAAACGAGTAACCCGCTGCGGTGTGTGGCATCGCCGCTGGGGGAGACAAAGGCGGCCGGGCGTGGTGCCGTCCACCCCCTCGTGTGCCTTTGCAGGAGCGCGCCCGGAATCGACGTCTGGCTGATCTAAATATCGACGTGATGATGGTCCACTTCGTTGAGCTGTCATTTGTGGCCAAGCCGCTTCTGAAAGAGGAGTTAGACTGCTCAGTGGGCCTGAGCTGTGTAATATTGGAGCGAGTTCAACCGAGCCGCAGACGTACCCTTTGGAGGCACACACATTTATTGATAACCATCACAAAGGGGTAACTGCCCCTTTGCCAGATAACAACCTCCGGTGGTGGACCACCAGGCTAACTACACTAGTTACACCGTAACTAGCTACGTGACCACCAGGCTAACCACACTAGTTACACCGTAACTAGCTACGTGACCACCAGGATAACTACACTAATTACACCGTAACTAGCTACATGACCAACAGGCTAACCACACTAGTTACACCGTAACTAGCTACGTGACCACCAGGCTAACAACACGAGTTACACCGTAACTAGCTACATGACCACCAGGCTAACTACACTAGTTACACCGTAACTAGCTACGTGACCACCAGGCTAACTACACTAGTTACACCGTAACTAGCTACGTGACCACCAGGCTAACTACACTAATTACACCGTAACTAGCGACGTGACCACCAGGCTAACTACACTAGTTACACCGTAACTAGCTACGTGACCACCAGGCTAACTTCACTAAGTACACCGTAACAAGCTACGTGACCACCAGGCTAACCACACTAGTTACACCGTAACTAGCTACGTGACCACCAGGCTAACCACACTAGTTACACCGTAACTAGCTACGTTACCACCAGGCTAACTACACTAATTACACCGTGACTAGCTACGTGACCACTAGGCTAACTACACTAGTTACACCGTAACTAGCTACGTGACCACCAGGCTAACTACACTAGTTACACCGTAACTAGCTACGTGACCACCAGGCTAACTACACTAATTACACCGTAACTAGCTACGTGACCACCAGGCTAACTGCACTAATTACACCGTAACTAGCTACGTGACCACTAGGCTAACTACACTAGTTACACCGTAACTAGCTACGTGACCACCAGGCTAATTACACTAGTTACACCGTAACTAGCTACGTGACCACCAGGCTAACTACACTAATTACACCGTAACTAGCTACATGACCACCAAGCTAACTACACTAGTTACACCGTAACTAGCTACGTGACCACCAGGCTAACCACACTAGTTACACCGTAACTAGCTACGTGACCACCAGGCTAACCACACTAGTTACACCGCAACTAGCTACGTGACCACCAGGCTAACTACACTAGTTACACCGTAACTAGCTACGTAACCACCAGGCTAACTACACTAATTACACCGTAACTAGCTACGTGACCACCTGGCTAACTACACTAATTACACCGTAACTAGCTACGTGACCACCAGGCTAACTACACTAATTACACCGTAACTAGCTACGTGACCACCAGGCTAACTACACTAATTACACCGTAACTAGCGACGTGACCACCAGGCTAACTACACTAGTTGCACCGTAACTAGCTATGTGACCACCAGGCTAACTACACTAGTTACACCGTAACTAGCTACGTGACCACCACGCTAACTACACTAATTATACCGTAACTAGCTACGTGACCACCAGGTTAACCACACTAGTTACACCGTGACTAGCTACGTGACCACCAGGATAACTACACTAGTTACACCGTAACTAGCGATGTGACCACCAGGCTAACTACACTAGTTACACCGTAACTAGCTACGTGACCACCATGCTAACCACACTAATTACACCGTAACTAGCTACGTGACTACCAGGCTAACTACACTAATTACACCGTAACTAGCGACGTGACCACCAGGCTAACTACACTAATTACACCGTAACTAGCTACGTAACCACCAGGCTAACTACACTAATTACACTGTAACTAGCTACGTGACCAACAGGCTAACAACACGAGTTACACCGTAACTAGCTACGCGACCACCAGGCTAACTACACTAGTTACACCGTAACTAGCTACGCAACCACCAGGCTAAATACACTAATTACACCGTAACTAGCTACGTGACCACCAGGCTAACTACACTAATTACACCGTAACTAGCTACGTGACCACCAGGCTAACTACACTAGTTACACCGTAACTAGCTACGTGACCACCAGGCTAACTACACTAGTTACACCGTAACTAGCTACGTGACCACCAGGCTAACTACACTAGTTACACCGTAACTAGCTACGTGACCACCAGGCTAACTACACTAGTTACACCGTAACTAGCTACGTGACCACCAGGCTAACTACACTAATTATACCGTAACTAGCTACGTGACCACCAGACTAACTACACTAGTTACACCGTAGCTAGCTACATGACCACCAGGCTAACTACACTAGTTACACTGGGAGTAGCTACATGACTACCAGGCTAACTACACTAATTACACCGTAACTAGCTACATGACCACCAGGCTAACTATACTAATTACACTGTAACTAGCTACGTGACCACCAGGCTAACTATACTAATTACACCATAACTAGCTACATGACCACCAGGCTAACTACACTAATTACACCGTAACTAGCTACGTGACCACCAGGCTAACTACACTAATTACACCGTAACTAGCTACGTGACCAACAGGCTAACTACACTAGTTACACCGTAACTAGCTACGTGACCACCAGGCTAACAACACGAGTTACACCGTAACTAACTACGTGACCACCAGGCTAACTACACTAATTACACCGTAACTAGCTATGTGACCACCAGGCTAACTACACTAGTTACACCGTAACTAGCTACGTGACCACCAGGCTAACTACACTAGTTACACCATAACTAGCTACGTGACCACCAGGCTAACAACACTAGTTACACCGTAACTAGCTACGTGACCACCAGGCTAACTACACTAGTTACACCGTAACTAGCTACGTGACCACCAGGCTAACTACACTAATTACACCGTAACTAGCTACGTGACCACCAGGCTAACTACACTAGTTACACCGTAACTAGCTACATGACCACCAGGCTAACTACACTAGTTACACTGGGAGTAGCTACATGACTACCAGGCTAACTACACTAATTACACCGTAACTAGCTACATGACCACCAGGCTAACTACACTAATTACACCGTAACTAGCTACGTGACCACCAGACTAACTATACTAATTACACCATAACTAGCTACATGACCACCAGGCTAACTACACTAATTACACCGTAACTAGCTACGTGACCACCAGGCTAACTACACTAATTACACCGTAACTAGCTACATGACCACCAGGCTAACTACACTAATTACACCGTAACTAGCTACGTGACCACCAGGCTATCTACACTAATTACACCGTAACTAGCTACATGACCACCAGGCTAACTACACTTATTACACCGTAACTAGCTACGTGACCACCAGGCTATCTACACTAATTACACCGTAACTAGCTACGTGACCACCAGGCTAACCACACTAGTTACACCGTAACTATCGACGTGGCCACCAGGCTAACTACACTAATTACACCGTAACTAGCTACATGACCACCAGGCTAACTACACTAATTACACTGTAACTAGCTACATGACCACCAGGCTAACTACACTAATTACACCTTAACTAGCTACGTGACCACCAAGCTAACTACACTAATTACACCGTAACTAGCTACGTGACTACCAGGCTAACTACACTAATTACACCGTAACTAGCTACGTGACCACCAAGCTAACTACACTAATTACACCGTAACTAGCTACGTGACTACCAGGCTAACTACACTAATTACACCGTTACTAGCTACGTGACCACCAAGCTAACTACACTAATTACACCATAACTAGCAACGTGACCACCAGGCTAACTACACTAATTACACCGTAACTAGCTACGTGACTACCAGGCTAACTACACTAATTACACTGGAAGTAGCTACAACGAACACGACCCCAGCTTGGGTCCAGGTCCACGTGTTGGTGACTCTTCTTTGACGTCGAACGTAGAACGTAGATTCTTCAGGATAACCACAGCAGGCGGTCCCTCTCGGGGACCCGGCTTATATCCTCCGTGGTGGGGCTGGCTCTGCCCTTAGCCACGACCACCTTCGAGATCCCTCGAACAGGATCTCGGCCTTGACACGTGACCACCCCTAGCCCCCACCTGGGGGCCCTGTGTAGACTTTACCGGTCATGTGTCCTTCGGGGTCAACCAGAGTGCCATGGCCCTTAGCAACCCCATTCCCATGGCCGGCACTCTCACACCCTATCCTGTAGGGGTCGGCACTGCACGCAGAGCGTGGTGCCATCCAGCACTGGCAGTCAGTGCTCACCGAGCCCCTCTAGGGCCGGTACTGCACCCACATACGTAGTGGTGTCTGCGATGTCACTACATCCCACGCCGTGCCTGTCTAGGGCCGGCATGACACAGTGATATCCGCGATGTCACTACAATATATAAATAAATGTTTTATTTCAAAATAGTTTAAACAATGGAGAGAATAAGAAGCTGACAAGCCAATCCAGCAATAGAGCCTCCCAAATCAGAGATAAGCAGACAATAAACGTCTCCATATACCCAGTAAACATGAAACATTGCGCCAAAGTCGGCCCAACCACATTCCAACGTTGACATTTACGTACTGGGTACGTATATCTAACTCTACCCGTGGAAAATTGAAAACATATTTACTATGTAACCCATTGGCCTCACGTCCTTCTGGGGAGTGAGCATAATTTCAGCATCATTGATTCAGCGCAAGCAAAACTCTGAACCAGCTTCAGCATGAAGTGTCTCTCATCCATTGTGTGTGGGGATCCGACTACAGAGTCCTG